ATAAAAATTGTTAGATTGAGAGGGAGTCTTAAAGTAAGGGGAAAATATACCAAATATTAAGAGGAAGAAAGTAAATAAATTTTATAGTATTATAATCATTAAAAAAATTAGATTGTTGAGGTATGGATCAACTCAATAATGCTTGATAATTTATATAAGACAGAAATCACTCTAATTTAAAAGCATGAAATTGATGATATGAAATATTTGTCTTAAATAAATATGATTAAAAAAGATTAAATCCTTTGGCAAATAAAAAAAAAAATCAATGAAGATTATGTGTATGTAAGGGGATTGCAATAACCTCACATGTTGTAGAGTGATATAATTGATGATCTTGATTACTGAATATTGAGGAAGTCTCACTTACCATTCAATTTTTGTTAGGGAAAAAAAAGTTAAACAATCTAATTATAAATATAATAAGAAATTTGTGGAACATCAAATAGTCATTATCATAAACATGTCTTAGTTTTCTAATTTTTTGTACTAACTAATTCAGGGCATATGTAATAAATATTGTACATTACGCATAAGAAAGCTCTCTAGATAAGGAGTCAAATATAGTAAATATCTTAGAAAATTATGAAGACATTAAATTCATATTAATTTTACAAGATAACTTAATTTATATTTTCACCCAGAGATAAAACAATCTGGAAGTTTAGCATACCTAACTAAAATAATTTTATTTGAGAACATGTCACAAGTATAAGTGTGCGACTAGTCAATGGAGAGATAATCTAAAAGTAAGTCAACGAATCAAAATTCAAAATATTCAAAGATTCATAATTCTTACAAATAAATTTCTTATTTTTCATAACCTATGTGCAGCCCACTAAGGTCTGCCTAAATATTATATGTTGAGCAGACCGTTAGACCGATAAAGACAAAATAGAGAAAGCCCAACTCAATACACCTCAATCAAAATAAGCATTCACTCAAAATTAGGGCATGTTAAATTCAATCGAGATCTTATGACAATAACAGTTCAACCATGTCCCCCTCGTCTCCTTTGGCTCTACTAATCAATGTCTTGGTTGATCAATACCAAATTAAAGAAGAAAGTATGGAACAAAATTCAAATTAATAATTTAGACAACACATCTACTGCAATGTCTTTCTCATCTTTGGGAGCTCTCAAAGTCTACTAAACAAGTAAGGTCAAGAACGAATCAATGGAGTTGTGTATTTGAAAACAAATTTCAAGCACTACCACCATTGGTCCAACCTCATTCATGTTCTCAAATAATGCACAACAACATTACCATCATTGGATGGTAGTTGTAATCTAATTTAAGTTGATTTATTGTCAATATCTTGATTATTAATATGTGGACCCATTGAAGCACCCATAATACATCATCAACACATAAATCTAGGTCATAGAGGCATCTATGATATGCTTGAAATGAGAAAACCTAGAATTGTTAATTTTGTAGAATTCTAAGAGATGTCACATGCTCATATAACTTAATGATATTAGATAGTTCATGATCCCAAGATATAAAATATATTTTGAGTGCTTGAATAATACAATTTAGATTCCTTAGAAGTGGACGCACATCGAAGGAACTTGCTCAAACCACTCTAAAATCTTAGGATAAAAAAATTATAATATTTATAATATTAATATAAACTAAAATACAAAAATTAATGTACTTAAATATATAAAAAAAGAATTAATTCACTCTTTCTCTTGATTCATCTCACTATATACAGGCTGAAAGAAGTTGCTAATGAAGTTTTATTGATGAAATATTTTTAAAGAAACTTGATATTGATCAATGTGTAGTTATGCATTATGACAGTCAAAGTATTATTTATTTGGTAAGTAATCAAGTGTACTATGGGAGAACAAAAGATATTGATATAAGATTTCATGAGGTTTTAGAATTAGTGAATTAAAAAGATATTTGATTAAATAAAATTTAGAATATAGAAGAATAATGAAAATATGTTACCTAAGTTAGTGGCAATCAAGAAATCTAAGCATTAATTGAATTTTGATTCAAGAAATCTCAAAGTTTTAACTTGTTGAGAAGGTCAAGAATCTTCTAAGAAAGAAGCATTGAATGGAGCACAAAGGTGTAATATTTGATATCTTGAGATATTTGTCAAAATGGAGATGATTAAGATACGAGTTATATCTCTTATGAAGCTTCGCAAACTGGATGATCAAAAGACATGCTAGGCCTCACACCAACCCAATAAGAGAGGACTGGGAGAAGGCAAAATTATTTATCTTTTAGTTTATGTTACATGGCATACATGTAATCTCCCATGAGATGAGATGTAAAAACTTGTTGATTTTATATCTCAAATTAGAGGCTTTCAAATCAAACCTAATAGCAATCTCATTTTCTGTCACTTGTGTGCCCTCTGTTAGTGGCTCTCCCCCTCTCCTTCCATAGAAAAGATGAAGGCACACACAATGTAATTAGGGGGCCTTTGCCTAGTTTTCTATTGGTTAGTTGTTGCAAGCCAAAGTGAGTTTTTACACATATTCTTCTCACATCTTTGAATTAAGTTTTTTGTTTGGTTTTTTACTCTCCACAAAATCAATATAAGGCTTTTCTATGAGTTTAGTCTTCATGTTGAAATTGGTTTCTATTTCAATCTCATTTCATTGACATCAATAGTTCAGAAAATCAAAGTCCCACTTGATTCTAATGAGGTATGAGGGGATAAGATCTAGGGCGATTTGTATATGAGAGACAATCCAACAACACAAGAACAAGACCTATCACTAGTTAGAAGACTTGAATATCTCTATAACATAATTCATTCTATGGACACTAACCATATTAACAAAAACATTGTGAGCTTTTCATTTTAGATCCTTGCAAAATCAGCCAAATATTAATTAGTATTTTGGAAATTCTTGGAGCTCAAAGACTAAAAGGTGATGTAAAAACATGAGGGTTTATTAATAACGAATCTATTTTGTGAGAAAATCCTGCAATAATAAGTGGAAAAAGAAGATCTCCAAATGGGCCGACTAATAATTTGATCCTGTTACGGTAGGCGTGGAAATCTCAAAGATGCGCTTCTCCTACCTTATTTTAGCTAATGGATAGTCCACTAAGAAAATGTGCCGGACGTTAATCAACTGCTGGCCCAATGGGCTACAAACCCACCCCACAGGTAAAGCCCAACTATTAAAAAAATGGGCCAGCCCATTAACACAAATGGAACGTATTCCATCTCTAAATGAGCTCCTAATTAGCCAAATCCATAAAGAAAATTGGAATGGCTTCCATCCCGAATTGGGCTCCTAACTACCCGAATGAATGGACGTGCCCAACTGAAAAATGGGCCTTGACCAACCCAGTCCTCCCCACGTGGGTGGGTTCCGAAGACAATAGATGGGCTTGAATTTATCACTTACCAATTGGGGCAACTGAAAGAAGCCCAAATATATTACAAAACGTGCACCGCCGATCCCAAAGTCGGCTGTGGGGCTATTTTATTAAGGCAGAAATAAATAGTCACTATTAACCCGATTAAATAAATGACCTCAAAGATGGGCCCCACCTACCTCAAAATGGGCTTCGACGTGCTCCAAGAGCGGATTCCCAACCCAACCCGTTGATTTATGGCAGTCTTAGTGCAGTTAATTTATAATTTATTTTACCTTCTTTTATTCATATCCGAGGTTGCTGATGATTTCCAGGGCACATAAAAATTAAATATGAAAAAATAAAGAATAAAAATATTCAATGAACTTAAAAACATCTAAAACAAAAAAACCCGACAAAATTAAGGATATTTTAAATATGAAGTCAAAAATTATACAAATATCTAAAAGCAAGATAATGCAGCCATACCGAATTTTATTTTTTCTGATAGTAAAAACATAAAAACCTAAGACAAATAAATAATTTTAAATATGTTATATCCTTTGTAAATCAAAATAACACCTAGAATTTATAATAATAAAAAGTATGGAAGACTCGGAAAAAAATGGAAATCTAAATGAGTATTAATGCATTCTTAAATATAAAAATCAAAATATTCTCATAACGTCAAAATCAATTTTTTATTTCGTTCAATTCACCACCATTACGAATATTATTTTATCAGAACAATGGAACTAAGTCAAATAAAGTCGGTTGGGAAGATCCGGATTTAGGCGAATTTAGATTACCCATCAATTAATCAGATAAAGTAAACTCATATCAAATGCCCAGATGCAAACAAAACAAAAAAGTTATGCAGAAACATGTGAAAACGCCAGACTGCTTCAAGATTTGGGAAAATCGTCCAAAACTCGGGGTTGAGCACTGCTTTGTAGGCTTTACTCTTCTAGGAACGGATTTCACGCGCCTTGAAACCCAAGATCTTGTGGATGCAGAGTTGCCCAATTGCTTTCACATAGTCTAAATAAATGACAAATTATTTTCGAACAAAAGCAAGGTTCTCAGGGTTTTACATGAAAGTTATGATCTGTGGAAGGTGATGTGATGAAGACCCGAGGGAACAATGAAAGGGAATCCATGGAAGGAAGCAAAATACACAGAGATATCGCTCACAGTTATATTCAAAACCCTCCAGCGTCCTCAGCTAAATCCCAGGTCTGAAAGCAAACAAAATCCAAAGAAATATGCCTGAAAAAAAGAAAAAAAAAAAGCGAATTCAGAATCCATGAACAGCATTGACTGATTAGCAACCGAAAAGTTGGTAATGTACAAGGATAAATAAAAATTATCATCTTCACCGATAGCATATATTGCCAAAACTCTCCCTACACAATCTATGCCATAGATGATATAAAAACAAAAAAATAGAACTATAGATAAAGGAATATTGCAATCATCTTCTTTGTATTAAAATTCACATCAAACCAGAAAGTTTCACTTAGCATTGTCCATGCCTTGCTTTCAGTCATTATCCAGAAAGATAGTTACTTTCCATAAATACAGGCATGAAGTTAGGCAAACAGATAACTAATCATGAACTGAATGTTTCAGATAGAAAATAAGAAAAATGTCAATTACCTAGACAAGCTCAATGTAGGCCATGGGAGCATTGTCTCCTCGCCTAGGAAGGGTTCTGATAATTCTTGTGTAGCCTCCATTTCTTTCTCCGTATCTCCCAGGTACCTCGGCAAACAGGGCATGGACTATCTGTTTCTCATATATGAAGCCCAGAGCCTGCCTCCTCTTATGAAGAGACCCATCCTTGGCCAGGGTTATCATCTTATCAACATATTTCCTCATCGCGCTAGCCCTCGCTCTGGTAGTCTTGATTCTCCCATACTTCAGGAGCTGTGTTGTGAGGCAACGAAGCAGTGCTCTTCGCTGATCTGGAGGCCTGTTGAGTTTCGGAACACGTCTTCCATGTCTCATCGCATAGAACTTGCTTCCATTGTCAACGTTGATAAATGCCTGATCGCACTCAGCAGCATCTGGCACAGATATTTGAATAAATCACATTTGGTTGCACCAATTCTCCCTTACACTCGTGAGAACTTTGCTAAAATGTTTAATAATTACGAAAGAGATAATAAGGTTAATTATCCTGAACGAAGTTGCCATCCTGAGTCAATGGTCGTTCAGCTGCACAGATAACTAAAAAATGCAAACTAAAATTATGTAACTAAATTACTTGAAGGTGCCATGAAGAAACTGTTCCTATATATAGAATAAATAGATAAAATGAAGCTGAAAGAAACTGTGAAGAAGCAAAAACGCGCTACAGAAGTCTGCCGCAAATAACTAAGCATCTGACGTAAATGGGACGGAGTGTTGGGCTACTAAAAATCACACAGAAAATATGAGACTAGCTGCAAAGCGTAAAGGCAGATGTTCGAGAAGACAAAATAATTCAAAAGGGCGATATATTAAATGGCTCTTCTTAAAAGATTGTTGCAGTACTGACGGCAGGCGACAATCGAGGAAACTAAATCCATAAGGATTTAGATAAGCGCAAAGAAGACAAGAAGAACATTTAATGAGCATAGCATATAAGAAACTGATTGGAGGCATTGAAGAAAATAGAAAATTATGCAGAATAAAAATGAAATGGCAAGTGATCGAGTGGGTCGGAAGAAAAAGGATCCAAAGAGTCCATTAAAACTGTATTAGGGTGGAGGGTTCAGGCACCATCGTGGCAGACGGGGAAGGATGAAGGGCGAGTTGAGAGCAAAGGTGGTAAAGCATAGTGACTAAACTGAACGAGATCCTGCAATGAAGCTGGAAACTCACCCCCACAATAATACACCCAGACCAATTACAGGTTCACTACGTGTTAGTAACGAGACGTTTCTGCGTAAGGTCAACGATGAATGTATCGAGAGGAATGTACCCCATAAAAAGTAGGATTATCTCTCACTGAAGAAGAAAGAATAATTTAGACAGACATTGAAATAGATTCTGAGTCAACAATTATAGAAATTCGACCGACAAAAAAGGCTGAGGATGAAAACAGCATAATCTAGATAAATTCGCAACTCACCGGAACCGATCGAGAAGAGTGTGTTCAGGGTAGATAGACCGGAGTAGGACCTCAGGGGCGTGAGCTGCTTGCGGCGGGACAGCCCGAGTCTCGAAGAGGAGGGAAGAGAAGGGGCAGTAGCCGGGAGACGAAAGTGAGGAGGCTGAGACGAGGAACTCGAGGGGAGTGCGGCACGCAGGGAAGCCATGCTCCACGGTGAGAGAGAAGTCGCCATCGCCGCCATCGGGGAGCGGAGAGGAATCCTCGAGCAGCTCGGAGAAGCTCGCGAGTTGCCGCCGGGTTGGCTCAGGTTGCCCCTCCCTGCGCCTCTCAGAGCCTTCTGCCCTCGGCAGAGATAAGCCGCTATCCCCACCTTATCCACGTGTCTTTTCGGATACATTTACCGGGTCTGAACCCGACCCGAATCACCCTGGGAAGCCCAAAGCTCTCTTATTGGGCTACCTCTTCTCGGGTAGTGCTTGCCACCGTTCTGCTCGCTATTCTTCTTACATCAGTCTAAACTCTGAGTGAATTTCATCCCAGATTATTGCATAAACGGTTTGAATTTTCCCCTTTTTAGATAGCACATGGTCTTACTATCCAGTCAGCCTGTCATTTTCCCGAATTACCTAGGAGTTTTTTTTTTTTTTTAACCAGAACCCAAAAAAATGAAGCTGTAGTTGACAGTTTTCAATCTTATTGAGTCGCTATCTTTGAGGTAATCTTTGACTTATGACAAGGAAATTGAAACTGATCTCAGGCAATAAGTCAACCCCCCCCCCCCAAATGAGGTTGGCCACTGTAATGGCTCTAGAACTCTGAAAGGTCAAAGCTCAGTTGACCTTCTACCCGCAAAGGCAGACCGCTCTGGAGATGCCAGAGGATCATTGGCTGGAGGGGAAGATTTCCATGGACTTCGTGAAGAAGAACGGTGAAGGGAGCTGGAATGATGCTCAGAAGTAATCAGGGGCATCGAGATGTGGCAAGGTGCTGCCAATCATGATGGGTCAACCATCCCATTTAAGAAGGTATTAAGCTCCTTCTCGATCCACCAGGTTCCTTACTTCATGATCAGCTGCCCTCACCTTATTTCATATAACACAAGAATCCCTTTTTGGGGAATTACATTTGTTTTCATCATGATCTTCAAGATAGAACAATAAAATAATGCTTTTTTGAGGTTGACTTCTACAGTTTCCTTGTCTGGATTTGATTTTCCTGTGATCAATGTATGTTCTTGGCTTCAGAGTCATCCCCATCGTCATAATTCCTTCGGAGTTGCAGCCATCACGAGAATACTCTGATGCTCACCCCCCCCCCCCTTCTTCCAGCTGCTCGAATGAACAGATGATGAAACCAAGATCTTCTTCCCACAAATCTCCCATCGGTCACATGAGATAGAGAATCAGGTCAGCGATGGAGACGACGCCATTGATGAGTCTGAATGGCCGCCTTCCTGAGATATCGGATGATATTGCTACCTACCATCATGTTTCAGATTTATGAAACCAGGAGAGGCCTACCCTGCCCCCACTCAATCCCTGATCCAGCTACTAGAGAGACTCCGAAGCCATGGCGTGTCAAATATGAATTTTGTGAAATACGACTGCAGTAAAAAATTAAAATTTTCAAATGACGTGTCAAATATGTGAGGAGATATTACTATTTATAGAATGCATTATTTTCAGATTTGGGATGGTTTTATATTTTTTAAGGTCAACATTTTCTTAATCGCAGGCAAGATATATATTCTGTGGGCATGCTCTCAAACGAAGTATCAGCAACGCGAGGAGAGAGAGGATATTTTTATTTTATTTATAAAAAAAAGTAATTCAGGGTTCATGAACATTCTTTTAATTTAAAGGAAAAATCTGGCGATATTCGGGCAAGATATTTATGCTGATATATAGATATTCTTTACATGAAGATCCACTTCGTTGAGGAGAGATATTCCTAGGATATCGAGCTAAAAAAGTAAGCAGGCTTTCAGACATATATTTTATATATATATATATATTATTAAATAAATATCCGGTAAAATATATTCGGTGATATTTATTTTCTTTTCATATGCAGAATCCCTCAGAACCGGATTCGATGGCTGCTCGGAGGCCCCGCTTTGAGAGGATGTTGCCACCCGAATTCCACGGCCTGACCGGCGGCGGCGCCGCCTTACCGACTGTAAGGCCTCTACGAAGCTTCCAGGTTAGAAAAATCCATGCTTTATTCGCTGACTTTGACCGACAACTATCACGTGCTTCCTTCCCCTGAGGCTCAGCAGAGCTATTTAAATGCTGGATGTCCCAGATACTGCGAGGAGTTGTTCTGCTGCCTTCGTGTTCCATCTGGGCCATTACTAAAAGCTCCCCGATTCAGAAAATCTTCCTCTCTCCGTAAATTTCGGTCTTATTTGGCCGTATTTTTTTGACCCGAAGGGAGAAGAAATGTTCATGCTTCAGATGGTAGAAGAAGAAAATCAGAAGACCAGGAAAGCATATAGCAAAAATCATCCAGAACTCGAAGAAATTTGTTTTTTTTTTTTACTACCGGAGACGAGTTGAGATATATACAACCGACTTCTCTGGGGCCAGGAGAAACCCTAATGTGAATTTCTAGAACCAATCGAAGGAAAGGAAAAAGAAAGAATCTTTGGTTGCTGTTTCGTCTATCTTCATCTGTTATCTCTGGTTCCGAGCTCCGTCAGGGTATTGTTACCCCTGACCAGAAGAGATCTCAGAAGGGTGGCAGGCCGCCCATTCCCGGTCTCAGCTGCGGGGAGGCGAGCCCCCCGAGGAGATAATCTTGATAGGAAAGGTCCCGGCCAGGGGCGGCGCCGTTGAAGGCCATGAAGGAGCTCTGAAGATCGTCCAGATTTAGATCCATGAACCAGTCGTTGTCCTCCTTCACCACCCTGGGAAACTCCAGCGATCTCGCCGCGTAATCTTCCACCGCCGCCGCCTCCGGGGGGGTGACCTCGTTCTCCACGTCCGACTCCGGCGTTCTCAAGCTCTCCGAGCCCGTATCCTCGCCGGCGTCCGCCACCGGCCGCCGCCTCTCCCAGTCGTTCTTCTTGTTGTAAAGCCGGCAAAGCACCCAGTCGTCGAGCTGCAGAAGCCACAGCCGGTCAGATCGAGCCCCCATCACCGGACCCGGAGACATTGCAGAAGCCATAGCCGGTCTTGCTTACCCTGAGGCTGCCGCCGCCCTTCTTGGCGGCGCGGTTGATGTTGGCGAGGCGATACTCGTGCATGATCCAGTTGGTCTTCACGCCCTTGGGAGCCTTGCCGGAGTAGAATACCAGCGCCTTCTTGATCCCCACCGCCCTGTCGCTCCCCCCCGGCGTCACCGGCTTGTCGGCCCCTGTCGCCTTCCAGTACCCGCTTCCGGCGGCCCTGTTCGGCCGTGACCCGTTGGGGTACTTCCTGTCCCTCGGCGTGAAGAAGTACCACTCCCTCTTCCCGAACAGCGCCATCTCTGCTCCCACAGGAAACTCATCCGTGAGTTGCAGAAGAGAGAGAAAGCTAGAGAGAGATAGAGAGAGGGGGCGAGGGGCGGGTGGGTACCTGGGAGCTGCCAAGGGTCGTACTTGTAGAGATCGACCTCGGCGATAATGGGGACGGGGAGTTGCTGGTGGGCGGCCTTCCGGCAGAGGTAGTAGGACACTAGCTCCTCGTCGGTGGGATGGAAGCGGAACCCCGGAGGAAGATTCAGCTCCGCTTCTGCGTCTCTCATCCTCGCCATCTTCTCTGCTTCTGGAGGAATGGGGAGTTGGGTTGGTCTGGTTCACCGACTCCAGTCGTCTTCTCCGGCTCCGGGGACAATCTGACGTTCGAAAGAACCGATGTATCGAGGAGTTGCATAAATACTCCTCCAGCTGAGAGTTAATCCCACGTTGCCGATGTTTTTGGATGAGCTCGAAGGAAGTTTCCTTTTATTTTCCGCGCCGCCAGAAATAGCCGGCGCGACTTCCAGACGGTCAAAGGTCCCCACGAGGGCCTTAGTCATCTCTGAGTTGGTGGCTGTAAGAGGCGGCGAATATGCCAGCGCATCAGCTATTCCGCACGTTGTATTTATGCAAGCCACGTGTCGATCTGATCGGCAATTGTCCTTAGCCGCCGCTAAAGAGAGACGCCGGGGACGACATTACGAACGATGGTGGGGACACGTTTAGCATACATACTTCCCAGCGATTGGTGCGTACAAGTAAGAAGCGGGGGCCGCCGCGGGGGTGTGGTTATTTCCCTATTTTTTAATAAAAAATAAAAAATCATAAATTTGGTTGTCTAGGCTTTTTGGATATCATATTTTTTATTACAAACATGTGATAAATAATAGATTTCAGGCATCTAATTCTCGTTTAGATGGCTCATGGTAGGTAAACTCACGTGGACACAAAAATCAACACCATTTTCCACATTCGATTTTGCTTTAAAATACTAGTGATTATGAAGAAACATGATTTATCTGTCTTATTTTTTATCCCTCAACAGTAAAAACGTGGCATGTGTAGCGCCATTTTATTGGTATTTAAGCATTAAAAACATGTTTCTTCCTATATCTTCACATTTTAGTTCTTCAGAACCTCGTTACTCGAATAATAAAAAAACCTTGGGGTTATTATTATATGTGGGTATAGGATGGGCACGTAGAGAGAGAGAAAGAGAGAGACAGACAGAGACAGAGACGGAGCTAGCGAACGAGCAAGAGAGCGACTCGGATGTGGTCAACCCATGTCGAATGTGGGGCCCATTGTAGTGACGTGTGCAACGCCATCGACGCAAATAGAGAACGTGAGATTCAAAGTATTCATCCGCTACCTTTACAGCCGCCATCAGGGGGCGATCGTGCGTGGGCCGGATTGGACCGGCGGCAACCAGATAGGCAACGGGAACCGAACCATTCAAATCAGGTCATACTTTCAACGGAGAGTCCGATGGAAATGGAAAATAACGTTGACTAGTTTACTTATTTTATTTGGTGGATAACTTAATCCTCGTATTTTAGATTGAGCCGGATCCGGGCCTTTGCCTTCTGAGTGGGCCATATGTGCACACACATACATATATATATATATATATATATATATATATATATATATACATATATCGAGAGAGAGAGGGAGAGAGAAAGGATGAGAGAGGGAGAGAGAGATAGATAGATAGATAGATATATAGAGTGAGAGTGTGTGTATGAGAGAGAAAGATAGATAAATATATAGAGTGAGTGAGAGAGGGAGATAGATTGATAGATATATAGAGTGAGAGCGTGAGAAATAGAGATAGATAGATAGATAGATAAGAAGAGAGAGAGAGAGAGAGAGAGAGAGAGAGAGAGAGAGAGAGAGAGAGAGAGAGAGAGAGAGAGAGAGAAGTGTTAGAATTAATCTCAATGTAGACAATAATATATATGAATTATAAATTATGGGGTTATCATTGAATTAATCTCACTTAAAGAGATTAATTAGAATTTAAGTATTTGAGATTACAACCTCTCTCATGAGTATGAGTATAAATATTAATGTGTAGAGATCATGAATTGTTCTAATTTTATGATGAACTAAATTAAAAAAAAAACACTAAGAGGCTAACCACATGTTGTCTATAAATAGGGGTCATGGTCCTTGGGACACACATCGTGAGTCATTCTTAGAATATCTTATTCCTCTAGAGTAAGTCATTTTATCATTTTTCATCTCTCTCAACAATAGATCTTTCAGATCCAATAAGTGGTATCAGAGCCAAATGTGTTGAGTTTTTCATTATTTTTCATTCATTTGGTATCATTTTTTGATGTCTTATCTTGAGAATGGATTCATGCGTCCACTCTGAAAATCGTAAGGTTTTGACCTTAACATGGACGGATTAATGGGCCGTACAGGCCATGCAAATGAATCTGTCGACTCTTCTTCTTTCCCTACAGAGGAGGAGGAGTGTTGGTTTCTACACACCTCTCTTCCTCTCTTTTCTTGAAGGAAGATTTCCATTTGGAAATCGCAGCTCGACATAAGCTGATCCCTTAGCCAATGTGCCTGTTTACAATGATGCCGTCATGATGATAATGTTAGCATTTAGTTTTATGATGTCATGCCCATAAAATAATTTAATTCAAATGTCTTTTTATTTCTAAAATATTTTTGATAATTTTCTATCAAAAATTATTTATAGAGTTATTTGAAAATTTCAATATTTATGTTTACATTGAGTATAGTTAAGTCATGATTCAAATTTTGGTACATGTATGATATTTTAGTATTATTACTTGAAGTAACATCCTACCAAAGTAAGCTCTCTTGTAGATATTAGTTTTTCTGACATATGAGATATTGTGTATGTGATTTTGTAGATACTAATTGACCCAAAAGAAAATTTAGTATTTTACTAATTATATATATTTATGATAATAAAAATGTGATAATTATTTAATATTTTCATGTGAATAATAAGTCGGTTCAAAGAAAGACTTTGATAGAAACTTATTGACAATATTATTATCTAAAGACCATGTATTAATATTGTACTCAATATCTTGTGATGGAAAGTACCATTATTTGAAAATCAAGTTACTTATGTGAGCTTTATATTATTCTTTGTACACATTTTAAGTTTCCTATACTATTTCTACATAGATAAATTTTATTCCTATGTTAAATGACACAAATGTCAAGTCATATAAATAAAACATTATGACAATTCTCGGTTGTATAAATCTAGACATTACCTTAAGAGAAGATCATCCTATAAACTCTCATGAGAATAAGTGAAATGCAGATAAGTGAAACCGATCTAATTGCATGAGTCTTATGATCATGAAACATGCTATTTTAGAAGCCTTCATGGGCACTTTGTTTGAAGAGACAATTACAACAAAAAATTTCTTTAAAAAACATGAGAAAAAGTTTACTAAGAATGATGCAGTCGAAAGAATGATTTTAGCAAAACTTCTCTCTTTAAAGTATCAAGGCAAGGAAAGTATAAAAAAGTATATTCTTGAGATGTTTCATGTTATATCAAAACTAAAGGCACTAAAGTTAGAGCTATCAAAATATTTGTTCATGCACTTAGTTTTGATTTATTTTCCTACACAATTTAGTCAATTTAAGGTAAGTTATAATTGTCAATAAAACAAAAGGTCTTTAAATGAGCTCATATCACTATAGGTGAAGAAAGGTTGAAGTGAGATAAATATGAGAGTATTCATTTGGCCATGACCTCTAAAAATAAATTCAAGAAAAGACTTACGATCAATAAAGCTATAGGTGAACCACCACTAAAGAAATAACAAATAAAGTAAGATAAAGAATCTACTTGTTTCTTTTGTAATCATGGTGGTCGCATAAATAATAATTGTACCAAGTATCATATTTGACAACAAGAAAAGGTGACTTTCTCACTTTGATTTGTTCAGAAGTTAATTTAATTTCTGTACCTTTGCACACGTGGTGGATAGATTATGGTGTTACTATTCACATGTGTGTTTATGTAGGGTTAAATTTATTATTGTAAGATAATTGATGATGAAAGATACATCTATTTGGGCGATGGTAATATAATAGCAGTGGAGGCAACATGGACTTTTAGGTTATTGTTAAAAATTGATCACTATTTGAATTTGATTGAGACTTATATTGTATTATCTTTTAGAAAGAACTTGAATTTTATTTTTGATTTAGATAAATTTGATTATGGTTGTCTATTTAGAAATAAAAAATTTAATATATTTGATAGTTCAAATCGTATTAGTATAAGTACTTTATCAAGTCATGATAACTTATACTTACTTGACATAATGGTCACTTCTAATGAAATCTTATATATCAGTTCAAGGAATACAAAAGAAAATTAATCAATGAGATTTCTACTTCAAGAGATTAGGTCATATCTCTAAAAAGAGAATGGATCAACTTGTGTCTAATAAAATTCTTGAGTCAATTGATTATAAGGATTTTGACACGTGTTAAATGTATTAAGGAGAAAAGAGCAGACAATAGATATTAATTGAGTTTTAGATGTTTTGAAATTAATACATACGAATATTTGTGAATCATTTGATATAACCTCTTGGAATGATCAATAATATTTTATTACATTTATATATGATAATTCTTGATTTGATTACTTGTATCTTAATTATGAGAAGTTTCAGTCACTAGATGTGTTCAAAAAATATAAGACTGAAGTTGAGAATCAACTCAACAAATAGATTAAGGTCATTAGATTAGACTTTGGTGATGAATACTATGACAAATATGATGAATTAGGTGAGCAACATCCATGACCTTTTGCTAAATTCTTAGAAGAGTGTGACATTATCCCACAATACATCATTTCAAAATCTCTTAACATGAATGATGTTGTTGAACGATGAAACAAAACACTTAAAGATATGATAAGGAGAGTGATTAGTCAATCTACCTTATTAGATAACTTATGTGGAAATGTATTTAAGATTGTAATTTATTTGTTTAATCAGACTTCAATTAAGATAATTGTTAAAACTTTTTATGAGTTTTGGACGAACAATAAGTTTAGCTTAAAGTATTTATACATTTGGGGTTGTTCGGTAAAGGCAATATCTTACATACCTAATGAAAGAAAATTTGAGTTGAAAACAATTAGTTACTACTTTATTAAATACTCGAATTTTTTTAGAGGGTATAAGTTTTATAATCCCACTACTATAATTATTTTTGAGACAAAAAATACTTATTTTTTTGAGGATGTTGAATTTATAAGAAGAGATAAGGTTAGAGACATTGATTTCAAAGAATAATATGTAAATATTTCTTCTATTATTATTGACAATGGTCTTGATAAATATCATATTGACTAACATTGATCAAGAAATAACTTCAGATTAAAATTATGTCATCATGACTCTCACTTTAGAATCATAAACTCAACATATTCGAGAACTAGTGTCATTAAGAAGATCTATAAGAGGGCAAAGGAATACAAATTTCAGATAAATATATCATATTTTTTTTAGAACTTGAGACTAACATCGTAGTGGTGGAAGATGATCATATCAATTTCTATCAAGTCATGCAAAATTCTAATTCTTATAAGTGGATTGATGCCATTAATATAAAGATTAAATCTATAAAGGACAATGACGTATGATATCTTATCTCATTACTCAAAGGTGTGAAGTCTATTAGTTGTAGATGAATATTTAAAACTAAAAAAGATTCAAAAAGTAATGTGGAAAGATATAAAAGTCATCTTGTCATTAAGGGATTCACTCAAAGAGAAGGCATCGATTATATAGACTTTCTCTCTAGTTTCATCGAAAGACTTTTTTAGAACAATAATGGCACTAATAACTTATTTTGATCTTCAACTACATCAGATGAATGTAAAGATTATATTTTTTAAGAATGATATTGATGAAATGATATATATGGTACAACTAGAAAACTTTGTGTCTAGAGACCCAAAGAAAATAGTATATAAACTAAATAAATCTATTTATGAGTTAAAATAAGCTTCCTGACAATAATATCATAAATTTCATCTTGTTATTATCTCATTTAGTTTTGAGATAAATACGAGTGATGAATATGTATATCATAAGTTTAGTAAGAGTAAACATATATTTCTGATTTTATATATTGATGACATAGTGCTTCTCAATAATGATATAAGCTTACTTTGTGACATTAAAAGTTTTTTGTTAAAGAATTTTGAAATAAAGAATCTTGATAAAGTTTATTTTGTATTGGACATTGAGATATATTAAGATCAGTCCTGAAATATCTTATGGTTGACACAAAAGAGCTATATCGAGAAAGTCTTTTTGAGATTTGATATGCAAGGATATAAATCTTATGATACTCATGTTGTCAAAAGAGATACGTTTAGTGTCATTCAGTGCCCTAAAAATAATTATGAGGCTAAAGAGATGTAGAATATTCTTTATACATCAGTCATATGGAGCCTTATATATGCTCAAATATGTACGCGTCTATATATTATGTACATAATTAGAGTCCTGGGTAGATATTTAAGCAACACTAGCGTAGATCATTGAAAAGTAATCAAATGGGTTATATGATATTTGTAAAAGACAAAAAACTATATACTCATCTATAAGAAATTATATCATTTAGAGATCATCAAGTATTGAGATTTTGATTTCACTAGATGCACTAATAGTAGATGGTCCACTATAGACTATATTTATTTGCTAGCTGAAGGAGATATATCATAGAAGAGCATTAAGTAGACACTCATAATTTTTTCTACTATGGCAATAGAACTTATAACATGTTATGAGACATCAAATCATAAAATTTGGTTGAATTGTTTTGTCAAAGATTGTAAATTTTGAATAGAATTAAAATATCACCAAAGTTATTTTATAACAATAAATCAGTCGTTATATTTTCTAATAATAATACGAGCTTGACAAAGTCTAAACATATAGACATCAAATTTCTAGTTGTTAAGAAAAAAGTTTAGAATAAACAGATGTCTATAGAACATATTGAGACAAACTCTACTGTAGTAGATTTGCTTACTAAGGAACTATCGCCAAAGGTATTTCATGAGTATATTGTTCATATGAGTGTAATACCTTACAAAAGATATGTAATTTCAATGGGAGTTTATATTTTGATGTTCATATATTTATGAATATATATTTTAATTATTTTATACATTAATAAACTTTGTAATTATTTTCACTTTGAATGTTGTTTTTTGATCTCCATTTGAAATAAAAGGGACTAAGTTAGAAATATGCATGTATGAGTCACATTTCATATAATTTTCATTCTACACATTCATACTTGATCTATGTTGTTCATTATATCAATATATGTAATTATTGTTAGGTTCAGTCATGTGAAAAATGTGAACGATTTTTTTTTTTAATTCTACATTGGTATAATGATGGAGGAAATTGTTAGAGATGTCTTTAACAATAACAACAAAAATTTTGAGCTCATAAAGTCATAATGTACAATATCAAGTTATCATATATATTTTATCCAAGTAAGAGATTGTTAAAATTAATCTCAATGTGGACAATGATATATGATATATATGAATTATAAATTATGTGATTATTATTGAATTAATTTTACTTAAAATAATTTATTAGAATTTAAGTATTTGAGATTACAACATCTCTCATAAATATGAGTATAAATATAAATATATGTAAAAATTATGTTTTATTTTAATTTTATGATAGGTTAACTTAGAAAAAGACATCAAGAGACTAACCACTTCTTATCTATAAATAAGAGGTCATGGTCTTTAGGTCACACATTGTGAGTCACTTTTACAACATCCCATCCCTCTAGAGCAAGTCATTAGACGACTCCCATGTGTTGTTTCAAAAGGTTATTCTCGTACTTGTGACTTCATGAATTCATGCATGATTTTAATTTATTCTCATTATATTTTATCATTCTCCATTTATCTCAACACTAGTTCCTTTATATCCAACAAGAAGGAGAGAGAGGGAGAGAGAAAGGGAGAGAGATTAAATGGGTTTTCAATGATTGAGCTTAGTCTGTTCCGATTCGTGAATGGCAGGTGTGAAGCATTATTAATACATTATAATGGGATTTGTGTAATAAAAAAGACGTAATCTTTTATGTAATAGGAATAGCCTCATCGAGGGGTAGCACAATATAGCCTTACAGAAAAAATGCCGGCCAAAGAAATTGCTCTCAAAGGGGATGGGTCACATCGGCCTTCCGAATGGGCTCAAGCCCATTGAGGACATGACAGAGCTGGGCTACATTTGATTCTGGGCCAGGCCCAAAAATAGGCATTAAACCAAGCTCAAACATAAAAACAAGGTTGGCCGATTCCACTGTTGGGCCTCTTCTGAGCTCGAAGTATCTGCTCTTAATTATAATTTTGACATTTATGTATCATAAAAAAAGATTCATATTTTCCACATATACTGTGATTTAAAGGCATTCCCTCTGATTTTCAATTTTTTTTTTTGCCGTCATCAGCAAGGTGCCCAACGGAAGGAACATAAGAATAATTTTTTATGATATATAACTATAAAAATTATAATTAAGAGCAGATATTTCTAGCTCAGAAGAGACTCTCAATCTACCGAGCCTTTTTGGTTCATCACCTTGACCAAATAATATATACGACTATATATTTATGTATATATACGAATTTTTGTTGTTGTTCTAAAAACCTGTGCTTGCTATATTTGGGAGTGATTATAACCCACTATTTATAGCCTCGGATGTATAGGACCATGTAATGTCTATGTCGAACCCTAAGTCCAATCTTGTGCATTTCAAGGGCCATTATTTTAATTTATTAAATATCCTTCAGTATATTAATCGGACGCCTTTTTATTCTTGTTTAAACCATTTATAGTAGTAACAATAAGTTTAATGATTGTGATTATATTATCGTTGGTGTCGGGTATGTTTCTGAGAATAATAATCTGAAGAAGAAGAAGAAGAAGAAGAAGAAGAAGAAGAAGAAGAAGAAGAAGAAGAAGAAGATGAGTCCACCCACCCCTCCTGTGTGTTGCACATGCAGCCCCCCCGGTGGGGAGGGTCAACGTCGGCGATGAATGGGCGGCCGTCGCGTCGGACCCGTCGTCTTCCCCACCACAAGGCTTCACGAGCCCGCCTCGCCCGCTCGACAGCTTCTCTCCCCCCCCCAATTAAGCTCCTCACATCGCGCACCCACCTTTCGTCCTCGCCCCATTCATTGGCCATCTCTGGTTTTTCTCCCCTCGCAACATCCCACGGAAACGAGGCAAAGGGAATAGTTACTCTCTCTAACCGCCATGGCTCTTGGCGGGCCGACTCAGATTCGAATTTCGAGCATCAGTTGACGGTTTACTGTTGGAGAGATCCCCGGGCATGTCGGGTAACTCTCCATTAATTCCCTCCTGTGTATGTGGAGATGCCCCTTTTTAATGCGGTACCGTTTCAGCACAGTAATCCCATGGCCATCTCGGATAATTCATATGGTAAAACATACTATATTATTGGTGGATGAAGTAAGTCATGGCATTTAATTACGACGATTAATACCCTTATCCATTTCATCGATTGGAAGAGTCTCTGAGGGACACGTGGATGAAGAAGGGTCAATAAGGGGCTCATAAATATCATGAGCGAGGTAAATGAATAACGAAAATGAAGGCAGAAGGAGGAAGAGAACGATGAAGGGGGAGGGGCGGGGGAAATTGAACGATAATGAAACAAATAAAGGTTTTTTTTTTGGTAAACTTTGGGTCCGATGTGCCTAATTTTGTCTCAAATTATTTCTCAAAGTCAAGTAAAAAAAGAAAGATGGGTCCGAGCCGAATCTCGGGCTGGGTCAACTAGAGTCAGACAGCCTATATAACGAGCCAAGGCACGGCTTTACAGCTTTTAGAGTGATCTAGCCCGAGGCAGGCTTTACAGGCTGTTTTCTGGCCTGAGACTACGCTTGTAATTGATGCCTGGTCATAGGCCAAGCTTGGCAAGGCCCGGCCCGTGCTGTTCACGCCTGTGCCGTCTGCAAAAAGGGAAGATAAAGAGGAAGAAGAATGGGGGGAGGCATCGATGCGCATCGGGGGAGTAAAGGATGAGAAACCGGAAATCAGTCAGATAACTCATTGTTGCAATGGATGGTTACCTTCCCAAGGTCTTCCCCAAGTCGGTTCTTATTGCTCAGTCGGTCGGTGTGTGCACTGAATGCAAGACGGCCTCCACAAGGCGTCCCGTGGGCGGCGGGGGGTTGCCCGGCAAGGGGAGGTGGATCCTCCACGGTTCCTGCTGCTTTAATGGGGAAAGGAACGGCTGAGGGGGGGGGAGGGGGGGGGGGGGACCTTTCGCTGCCCCGGGGACGCCACGCCATGCGGCGACGACCTTTGTTGCTTCGTCGATCGGGCTCCGTCCCTTCACATTCCGATGTTAAATCCAAGGAATCGGGTGCGTAAACCTTTTTTTATTGAGACATTCCTCTTTTTTTCCAATCTGTCTATTTCTTTACTTCGGTAATCATCAGCTCTACACCCAGGCCTGGCCTGCAGTCCTTTATTGTCTCTCTCTCTATCTCTCTCTCTCTCTCTCTCGCCATGGCACTGCAGTCCTTGACCTTCATCCATCTTTCTCCCTCCCACCGTAACACCTTACTTCCCCTCTCCCTCTCACCTCCACAGCTTCTCACGCCTACTCACTTGACTCTCCCGCCCCCGCACTCGCCTCGTCAGCCTTCCATTATACGAGAGAAACCTCACTTCGGCACGCACTTATACTCCCCTACGAAGTACCTCTTTCCGGTCGCTGAGACCCTGAATTGCACATTACGACGGCATTCTGGTGAAAAAAGATACAAATTTCTAAATAGCTGAAGAAATTGACCTTTCAAACGTTTTAAAGTTTTCATTGTTTCTAAAAATCTGCTGATATTTAGTTACTACCTCTTCAATCCACCTAAACTGCCGGCCACCGGTCACATCGTAGTGAGGGCCTGAACAATGGGCTTCCAGTGGTACCTCACAGATATTTATGAAAGAATCCGGAGCCAGATGAAGTTCGAAAGGCAGAATTAGGGGGAGAAATGGGCGTGGGCAGGGGCCGTCTCTTGAGTACGAGACGGTTGGGCGTAGCTGTTCTTAAATGCGCATCAGGGAGCCCTCCTTGTGTCAACGAATGGGATATAAAGGTAACGATTGACTCTCCGAACAAGAGAAGGAGAAGAAGAGATGGCCGCGGCCCTGGACGAGTCCCTCGCGGAGCTGAGAGAGACGTTCAGGAGCAGGAAGACGAGGAGCGCGCAGTGGAGGAGGTCCCAGTTGAAGGCACTGCTAAGGTTCGTCCAGGAAGATGAGGAAGAGATCTGCAGGGTCCTCGAGGAAGACCTGGGGAAGCCGGGAGGGGAATCCTTCAGGGATGAGGTCAGTGGCATGCTCTCCTGCCTCATGATTGACGTTAATCCGATCTTGGAGGAGTTACGAGTTTAGAGATTAATTATATAATACTTATTTTAATTTTCGGCCGCGAATTTTACATGAAGCTATTTAACCTTGAACTCTATTTCATAACTCACCAGCCTATTCACACTCCTAGTGCTCCGTTATCTTTTCACATGGTATCGATCTAGTGAAGTTGACATTCAAGAGATTTCTTCAGTGCTCTATGGAAGGTATAGGTTCTTGAATCTCATGTTTCAGAATTGAGTTAACATTTTTTCACTCTTCAGGGTAAAACTAATTCTCAATAAAAAGTTGGTACATAGTAGTAATTTAAAATAAATTATGTCATGATATTAAAAATCACATATATTTTCGTACTTTGAGTCCTATGTTAATCTTTACACAGTGTGAACCTTGAGACGCCAATCTGCAACCAATGTTGTGTGCCTCTACCATACTTTGTATCGGAAGCAGTGCTGGTCAGATTTTTTGTGTTTTAACAAATGTTTTACTGTTCCAATTTAAATAATGTGAAGAATTTAGGCAGTTTAGGCTAAAGATAATTTTCATTAAATGAATTAGGCATATTCACGGGCATCAGTAGTCATAAGATTTTAGGAGTCTGATTTGCAATGTGTTACTTTTCAAAAGCATGCTCCATGTGGGGGTTGAATGTTTCTTCTGATTATTATTCTTGTGAAGAACGCAAATTTCAGGCATAATTCAATAATTAAACTTCATAAACTGAATCAGGCGAAAGAATTGGACCGTAGTAGTTCAAAGCAAAGGAATAAGCTAAAAATATCTAACCACAGGATTTGACTTGTGTTCGTCGGAACGGCATAACGTTTATCTGATCATATGGGGAGCCCTTGTCGATGAATTCAACCGGAATCACTCACGTAGCATTTATCGTCTCGCAGCTGGGAGTCCTGACGAAATCACTCAATCTGGCGCTGGACAATCTAGAGAGATGGATGGCACCGAAGAGTGTATGGTCCTGACGTTAACTCGTCCTCTCGACTCGACGAATTGACTCAACGAATTCTTCAATTCCTTGAATGCGCAAGAGTTAATATGGTGGCCTGCAGGTCCGTGTGCCGTTAATGGCGTTCCCCACCACAGCGGAGCTGGTCCCGGAGCCCCTAGGGCTCGTTCTCATCTTCTCATCGTGGAACTTCCCGATGCGTAACGTCCTTCATCCTCTCCCCCGGCATCACATCCTCTGGAGATGAAACCTAGCCCTGATTGTTGCTTCTCTTCTGATCCAATGGAGACCTCTGATTTGTGCAGTCCTGGCCTTGGATCCACTCGTGGGAGCCATCGCCGCGGGGAACACTGTGGTCTTGAAGCCCTCGGAGCACGCTCCATCCACGTCCTCATTCATCGCGAAGAAGATCCCCATGTACTTGGATAGTGCCGCCGTCAAGGTGTTCGAGGGTGGGGAGGAGGTGGGAGAGCTGCTCATGTCGAAGAAATGGGATCACGTCTTCTTTACTGGTGAGGAGATGGGGTTACCATTCCCCTCAGAAAACCTTCAGAAGTTCAGGTTTTGAGGCAGATTCTTATTTGCTAATCGTGGAAATTGGCAGGGAGCCAGAAAGTCGGGAGCTATATTATGGCGGCGGCGGCGAAGAATCTGACGCCAGTCACCTTGGAGCTGGGCGGGAAATGCCCGGCCATCCTCGATTCCCTCTCCAGCAAGAGAGACAGAGACGTAAGTCATCTTTTTATAAGTATCACATTTTCCGCACGCCGCCGTTTGTCTTCATGAACACATTCGGAGAGGTTTCTTCTATGGTCGGGATTAAATTGTCCCTGTTCTAGGCATCAGTCCGCTGGTAGAGCTCAAGAACATCTCCTGCACTGTTAAATCGTGTAGGTTTCTGACAATTTGGCTCTTGTCCGCATCGCTGAAAACTCTCTCTGGCGAGTCGAATGGGATCATTTTCATCCTACTCATTATCGCTATTTTCTCTCCATTCGTTTCCATTGGATTGCGGCCTGTTTCATTGCTTTGATGTCCTCCCCACTCAAGATTGCTGTGAGGCGGATAACGAATGCGAAGTGGGGCGTGTGCGGTGGACAAGTATGCATCGGAGTCGACTATCTCCTCGTCGAAGAGAAATCTGTGTCTGCTCTGGTAACTATCACCCTCATCCCTTAAAAAGACTAGCTAGGACAATCTCACATTGATTAGAAGAAAATAAGTATATCGCCTCATTGGTTCAGAACTGGATTATCAGTTGTCTTTGATTGAATATATTCCTAGCTTGTTTACGCCTCATATTAGAATTATTTTTTCACTCATGTGGCAGAAGTTAGAACAAAATGGGATATACGGGCAAGTATGTATTGGCGTACAGTCATATTTATTGAGGGAAATTGAATATATAATTAAGGAGATGTGCATCTCTAGTCGTCAAATGATTTGCATTAAGTGCGTAGATCTTTTTCAGAAGTTATTCTTCTAATTCTGACAAGAGGATTGTTGGCATGTTGGACTGCCAGATTGAGTTAATAAAAGAGAAGATCAAGGGTTACTACGGGGACGATCCTCAAAGAACCGGAAGCATGTCGAGGATTGTAAACAAGTACCATTTCAACAGGTTGAGGAGATTGCTGGAAGAGCCAGGCGTTGCGACCAGCATCGTCCACGGAGGATTTATGGACGAAAGCAACCTGTAACTCCTCACCAACTATCATTAATGCTTTGTTCTAAAACATAATTGAAGCACCTCTGTGGATGCGTGAGGGTTGTGAATATCTATCCTCGCAGTTACATTGAGCCTACGATCCTCTTAAACCCGCCTCTCGAGTCAGAGATAATGAAAGAAGAAATCTTTGGCCCGTTGCTTCCGATTATCACAGTAAGCCCGGGATACCCACTGAGTTCATCCGTACACTGATCCCAATTTAATTTCTTTCTCCTTCTTTCTTTTCCCAGGTGAAGAAGATTGAGGACAGCATAGATTTTGTCAACTCGCGGCCAAAACCTCTGGCCGCTTACGCATTCACCAACGACAGCGCCTTGAAGAAAAGAATAGTTTCGGAGACATCCTCAGGGAGTCTGACATTCAACGACGCAATAGTCCAGGTAACTCAGAATATCGTATTTCTGTTTATACTTCCGGTTTCCTGCCGTGGGGGAGAAACCTCAGCGTTGGCCATCATCTTCCTGGTTTCAGTTCCTCGTGGACACGCTGCCATTCGGGGGAGTGGGTCAGAGCGGCTTCGGGAGATACCACGGGAAGTTCTCGTTTGACACGTTCAGCCATGAGAAGGCAGTCCTAAGGAGGAACTTCTTGCTCGAGTTCAGCTTCGGGTTTCCTCCTTGGGACAGTCACAAGATTGAAACTCTCAGATCAGCATATAACTACGATTATCTCAACCTCGTCCTCCGGTTGCTGGGGCTGAAGTAATGATCCCGACAGAGGGATCGGACCCATCTCCATGATTTTCCTTTATTAGTGATGTACACACCAACTCCCCACTCCGTCACATTCAATGACTGTCTTGTTTGATGAGGAGCGTTACTTGATGTGTTGATGAAGAACATCAAGGTTTAGAACCACAAAAATGGTGTGCTTTATGATTAATAAGTATAATGCATGAATGACTAACTCACGACTTACTTCGTTCCAATAACTTTAACCGATGAGCTTATGTCAGATAACAGGTGATAAATTTAGTAAAAATTAGAGCTAGCTGTTGCAATGATTAGTACTGAAGTTCTTGATCTCTTCAGGACCTCATTCGTTATCTCTCGAGGTCGGAAAGAGATGGGCTTAGGATTAACGGTGGATACTGATTGGAAGCGTACCACGAAGCCATCCAAGAGATTCGTGGGACGATTGTGAATCATACTGTATATCATTACTCGTATCAGCAATAGACATCCTTCTCTAATGTTTAACGCATCATACACCTTTCGGCGTAATTTGCTCTCTCTCTCTCTCTAGGTCCGGTGCTCACCTCCCGCCCAATCCCAATCATCCCTCCTCCCTAAGAATTGGATTCCAGCTCTGATGCTTAATGGGGGATAATGGATCAGAGCTTTTCGCAATACAGCCCGCAAAAGTTAACTTTTCTTGTAGTGTGCTTTGAATGAAATTGCGCATGTTGACGATTGACCGAGAGATATTTTTCTCCAGTGTTCGCATCGATATCGCTAACTTCACTAGTCATTTCAACGCAGCAACAGTTCTTCAAAATAAGGGAAACTGGGAACCAAAAGAAGGGTCGTCTCACTTGAGAAGTGCGCAGTCAGATAAATCCCTTTTGCCATGCCTCGGTTATGACCAAAGCCAAGAGAAGTATGAATTCGTGATCCATACCATTCATCCCATTTATACCAAACAGCAAGAGTTTTTGTCCTAGGGCCTAAGGGTTACGCTGTGATGGTCTATGGTAGAGATTTAATTATGATGTTTACACCCAAAGGCAATGCTGTTATGATGTTATGATCTACGGTAGAGATCGAGTTGTGACGTTTACGCCCAAAGGCGACATGGTCATGACGTTATGATCTATGGTAGAGATCGAGGTGTAGTGTTTACGCTCATAGGCTGTAAATTACGGTTGTTTGGTTCTCAACTTGGGGCTATTTTGGCATACTGATTCCTAAAACGTTGACTATATATTCCATAAAATAACCATATTTGGCCGTCTTCCTCAGCCTGAGTACACCTCTATTAGACTGTATCCGTACCGTCGTTCATCATTCCTGGCACTGTTTGTCTATTAGACTGTATCTTTTTCTCAGGATAATACACGAAATTCCCAGAAAAGCTCTTTCGAAAATGACAGCTGATGAAAGCTACGCTTTCATTCAAGACTAAAGGTTGTAGAAGAAGAGACGAAACGAAATAATTTCGGAATCAGGTGGACAAAAAACAATAGCCTTTTAAGGTATGACTTGCTTTCAAGCAGCCTCTTGATCTCCCTCCGTCGCCAAATAATGGGATGTACCCGCCTTGGGACGTCCTCCAGCTGACGCTATTCTGTTGACTCCGAAGAGCCGTAAGTAACGAGATGTCCCGGTCATCGTCATCCCCGAAAATCCACTCGGGGGGGAAGGGTAGGGGTTTTCATTGGAGCTGGTTTTGCCTCCCGCCGATAAAGTCTATCCGAGAGCTCCCCTGGAAAGCCAACCTTGACATCCCGGTGAAGGGAAAAGAGACGACGAACGACTGGCACCCACAATATCTCAAAAGCTCATATCCAGTCGTGGTCTCCGGTCCATTCCTATGCATGGGCGCTCACCTGGAGATGCCCGGTCAACGGTCTTCCAACTTCCGTGTGCAAGGAAGGCATCAATCGGAGGATAAGTACGGGGAAAAGGATAGAAACGAGTGATTTCTTTTGCACAGAAGGGCTGCGAGCCTAGGTTAGTATTTATGTTGTTGTCATTCTGCAGCTGGAGGGGGCCTTCGTGGCGGAAAGGGGATGCACCTTAACTGTGTATGGTTAGGTCTGCCTGCATTTGATAAGGGTCAGGTTCAAAGTTTTAAGTGATAGGCTTAATTTAAAACCCCCTCTCTCTAATCTCTATCCGTCTATGTCTATCCATCTTTATTTCTCCATCTGCTCTCTTGTTTTCCTACTAAAACCATTAGCGTCAATCCATCAGAGCCGACGCCGCTGGTTCAGACCACATATCTCTCTAATTATTTCTGCGCGTTATCGTGACCTAGAGAGGAAGGATGAGACGTGAACACTGATAACACATACGCAACAGACGGTAGATGATTTGTATGTGTGAGAGGGGGGAGAGAGAGAGAGAGAGAGAGAGAGAGGTGGGATGAGCGGAGTGCACTAAATTGAATTATATTGAGGATATGAGAAGAATACGTACAAGCCCGTACACGAATGAGCGGCAATGGGCAATGCGCCCAAATGATGAGAGGAGGACATGTACACACGTAGAGACGCACACATAAGATAATACATACATACATACATATATGTTTATATATATATATATATATATATATAGAGAGAGAGAGAGAGAGAGAGAGAGAGAGAGAGAGAGAGAGAGAGAGGTAAGTGCACTCGAAATTCTATAATACCCATTGTGACAATAAATTTTTTTACGTGCCCCCACCTGAAAGGGGGTAGACTGCGATTTCTCGATCCTAGGGAGGGTTTACTTTCCAACGCCACGGTCACGGGATTCGCCCGCAGGAATAACGGTCCTGTTTCTCGTCCTTGTTGAACCCTATACCTGCTGATGATAGAGTAGTAGCCAACCTTTCTCCCTCATTGTGCTCCTACCACATCCATATCCATTAATCTGGGAGATTGCACCTGTGGAATGACCATCCTACATGCTAGGCAAGCCCTAAGAGCTGGTTCGTCAATGGAATGTTCTCTCTTTCTCGTTCCTCCCTCTCGTTTTTCTTTCTTCATCTTCGTATTCATTCTCTTTCTCATCTTCTCGTGCAGCTCCGGATAACATTTTCTAACACGTTACGATCGCTACAGTTATCTATCTAAGGTTAAATATTAGTTTGTGAAGAAGAAAAAGAAGACGACTCCACTTCAAAAAGTATCCCGGAGGCACGTGTCCACTTCTCAGAGATCTCGTCTACGTCCTTGAGAGAGTTGCCGTCGGTGGGAGATAGTGAACCTTCTTTGCATGAGAAGATCATTCCGGTGGTTAAGCTCGAGGACTTGCACTAATGAACCTTTCTAATCTTTTCGAATTTTTGCGGGGGTAAAGGAACACGTCGTTGTAGCCGTTCTAGCCAACCCCTAATCCCAGTAGCTCCGGCCCCCACCAAGAACATGCGCGTCTGATGGCCGATGGCTCCGGTTTGCCACGACCCCACCCCCCCTCCCTTCCCTCTCTCTCTCGCTCTCTGGCGAACGTGGGAGGGGGCTCAGTAAATCTGAACCTTTTAAGTCATCGGTTAAGCCTGCTATTTCTCATGGGCTTTTCCAGTAGCCCGATCGAATAACTGTTTTCTATCCTTGGTGGTTGTAGAATTGAACCACCGAACGCTTCATTAACGTGCATGTAGCTCATCTATGTCATACTATGACGGTTCTCTAGTATTGACGCCTTAAGAATATAGCGAGAGAGAGAGAGAGAGAGAGAGAGAGAGAGAGAGAGAGAGAGGCCCAATTACCTAAGATATTTTCTTACCACTTTAATTTATGTATTGTTGTCACAACGGGCCTACATTGAGTTGGTACCATCCTATTCCACGTTATCAAACCATGTTGCACATCTGTAAATTAAGCTTCTATTAATACTACAATTAAAAATACATTTTTTAAGGCATGACATTGCTGACCAGAAGCCCTTTCCATGCGATGACTGCCTCTGATTTACCATAACACACTCACGCGGTATCTCTACGCTATCATGCTACAACGTGAATCAGATAGTTTACCCCTCACTGACGCAAGTGGGCGTAGATTACCATATGCTCCCGGCCCCATGTAATATAAGAATATGTGCACGTCATTTCATATAATGTAGCCGATGACTTGGGCCCTACGTGTACACAAATCATGAGACGAGACCTCTGCTTCCCTTCCATGGTCGTATTCTCGAAGCGTCAGTCTGCGCAAGTGAAAATAAGCATTATAGCGCAATAAAGAGAGAATAGTATATTTACTAAAGGGATAAGATTATCGTAAATATTGTGAACATTACAGTGCATGTACGGGATGAGGCGACTACTGAATTCTGAGGGTGCAGTTGGTAGAGAGAGAAATCGAGGAAAAGAATGGTTGAGAAAGATTGGCTCGGTGCAATGAGCAGATTCGACCTGAAGAAAGGGAGAAGATCAGGGTAAACATTATGAAAATCATAGACCAAGTATGGGATGGGGTGTCACTCGATTCTGAGGGTGGAGAAGGTAGAGAGAGAAATCGAGGAAAAGAATTATTTTCAAAGGGTGGCTTAGTGCAAAGGGCTGATTGGCCCCGAAGAAAGGGAGAGAAGATTGGAGTAAATATTAAGAAAATCATAGACCAAGTATGGGATGGGGCAATCACTCGATTCTGAGGGTGGAGAAGGTAGAGAGAGAAATCGAGGAAAAGAATTGTTGTGAAAGGGTGGCTCGGTACAATGAGCTGATTCGACCCACGTGCAGTTCTGTCCGAAGTCTCCTCGGCTAGGCAGTCAATGTGCGTTGTCTCCGCCGATGTGCCGCCGCTCGGACAAGGTGGACTCGGTGTAATTGCCTTTTGACCGAGGGGGGGAGAAGAAGAATGAGAAAAAAGAGAAAACAGCTACACGTGGCGGCCAGTTAATGCGCGACTCCCAGATTGATCTCGCCGCAGCCATCGAGTCGTAGAAGGGCGGGTCCTGCACTCCACTGGGAAAACCATGCACCTCTAACCCTCCCAGCTAATCGTGCTCCGAGCCCTCTAATACGACACGTGTCCCGACACCTGTGACGCTGGCCCGTCCCTTCGTGAGCTCATCTCGAGTTACCCCCACACGGACCCCCTCCCCATACGGGCAAAGTGTCGATAACCACATGCTGTATAGTAAATGACTAAACTAGCCTCCACATTAACAATAATGATAGTAATAAAATTATTTTGCCACTTTCCATGATTGGGCCCACTGCTGTGTCCGCCGTCACGCCCGAGGGCCATATAACCCCCACGACGTTCTTCCCCAGGATCAGCAATTGCCCTTCTTGCATCCCCGGCCCTCCTTGCAGCTCTTCCTGTCTTCTTCTCCTCCAAGACTCTCCTCCGTCAAGCCTCAGAACCGCTGCCGTCTTCTCCGACTCCGACGAAGCCGCCGGCGATAAGAATATGACGATTCAGGAGACGCAGCTGCCGCCGGGATTTCGGTTCCACCCCACCGACGAGGAGCTCATCCTGCACTACCTGAGGAAACGGGCCGCCTCCCTGCCTTGCCCTGTCTCCATCATCGCCGAAGTGGACATCTACAAGTTCAACCCGTGGGATCTTCCCGGTGAGAATTATGTGACGGTTTACAGAACCTTTCACCTCTTTCCCCTCCGCTTCCGTCTTCTTCTCCTTCTCCTTCTTCTTCTTCCTCCTCCTCCTCCGGAGGGGTAGTAGTTCTTTCATGGTTTCGATAATCTGATTCTGTGATGTTTTGGTGGCAGACAAGGCGGTTTATGGGGAGAAAGAGTGGTATTTCTTCAGCCCGAGGGACCGGAAGTACCCCAACGGGATGAGGCCCAACAGGGCGGCGGGGTCGGGGTACTGGAAGGCCACGGGGACCGACAAGGTGATCGTAGCGCCACCACACGGCAATGAAAGCATCGGGGTGAAGAAAGCTCTTGTCTTCTACAAGGGCAGGCCTCCCAAGGGAATGAAGACCAGCTGGATCATGCACGAGTACCGCCTGACCCAGACCGCCGCCACCACCGCCGCCCACAACAGGCCCGTTAAGCCCACCCGAGAGTCCTCCATGAGGGTGAGGACTTCCTCCATCTTCTTCCTCAGAGACCGACCCTTCGGCTTTTGCCATCATATGCTCACTCTCTTCATCTTCTTCTGCCCTGATTACACAGTTGGACGATTGGGTCCTGTGCCGAATCTACAACAAGGGCAACAACCTCCCCGCGACGTCGGCAGATCATGCCTACGAGGATTCCAACTTGGAGAACGCGTACGTCCCGCCACAGGAGACCGGCGCCGCCTCTGAAAGGCTGCCTAAATGTCTCTCCTTCGGAGACCTGCTAGAAGAGAGCGACTACTCCTTGTTGGCGCGCATGCTTGGTGACAACCCGACGCACGTGTCCGTCCCTGACGCCGACCCGCTAATGGGTTACGAGAACCCGAACGAGAACCACCTCAGCTACGGCGGCCATGGCGGTGCCATGAGCATTCCTCCCTCGAAATCGACTCCTCCAATGGATTCTCCTGCTCCGGAGGTCGGAATCTGTCTCAAGCGGGAGAGAACGGCGGCGGGGTTCGAAGAGGAAGGTGACTACTTTTCATGTCCGGGGAAGAGATCCACCTCTTCTTCACACACTTGCTACAACAATTTCACCGGTCAACCTGGCATCACCGCTCCTCATTACGGTTCAGTCAGCAGCGCTTTCCAACTCCAGCAGACGCTGTTCAACTCTCAGATAGGGCATCAGTTAGCTCCCGCCGGACAAGGAAGTCGATTCGGTTTATGATTTGGATCTCTTTCCTTGTACAAAACCGATTTACTTTTAGCCTTTAAAGAAAACATGCATGGATTTTTACAGAAACTCGGAGACTCGAGTGGCATCTGAAGATAGAGATGTCATGGTGAGAGCCCGAGAAAAACTGATATCATGCAATTATGTAAGTGTTTGAATTGGACAATTGTTCCTATGTATTCGTAGTTGTGTGCTTTGAATCAGATTTATTAAAATCTTTCCATCTTCTTCATCATATTCTCCTCTAAATGGAATAAGAAGGCTGAGTGGATATTGTTTATGATTCGACGGAATGGCCAAGGGCCCTACAAGGAGCAATTATGGAAAAAAAAAGAGCCTACGTACATGAAAGAATGTGAGGTAACGCTTATCTAAAAGGCAGGGGAGTAGGGGGGGGGGGGGGGGGGGGCGTGGGGGGTTCTTTGTGGAATTATCGGAGAAAGGTGAGTTTTCTCTTTGAAGATGGGAGGGATGACGTTAGGGCGATCGCCATTGCTTTCTGAATCTTGGTGATTACTTGGCCGTACCGTTGACGGCTATTGAGCTTGAGAATATACCCTTCAACTCCCCCTATGGATAGATTCTCCACTTGGTGATGGGATTTCTCACGCACTCGTATGTTCCATTTCTGGCGCAATATTGCCCTACTTCTATCAAATAGTGGTTCTTTTTGCTGTTTTGTTTAGTCATAAAGGATCTACCATCGAATGCTCAGCATATAAGCTCTTTCCTCAATGGATTATCTAGCTTCAGGGTGTAATCATGAGATGCCCCACCCACCCGACCGATGTGGCTCGGCGCGTACTTATATGTGCCTTTGCCGGCTTCCTTTGACCGTGCATCTAATCAAGGGAAACTCGTCCACAAGCCCATGAGTCAAGCAACGAAATAGAGGCCTGATCACATTAGAAATGTGGCCATTTTATTACAGAAAATCACCCCTTGCTGGTCCATAACCAACACATAATACTGGCTTCTACATTAAAGTATCCTCACTCACTAAGACATCGATGAGGAAGAGGAGATGACCTCATCTCGTTTCTAGATGACACGTCAGAGGTTTTTATCATAATAAGGTTCACATTGTCGGTATGTAGCAAAACCTCTCGAGCAAAATACATTCATGGGGATCTGCTGAGAAACCAAAGATATTGCGAGGACTTTGTAGGTGATTTATTGCATTGGGACAAAAAATGGCACGCATGCAGCCTTCCAGACATTGGACGAGGGAGAACTATTGAACAGTCAAGAATTAGCTCGTCTCCTCCCCCAATCCTCTCCGGCTTGTAGAAATTCCACTGCAATTCTCTAATAACTACCAACCTTTCTCACGAACACTGGGCCAGGGGCAAGGCCAGCCCTGACATGGCCTCTCACAACCTCTTCAATGAAACACCTTTTTACTGAAGACAAAATTCAAAAGGGTTTGGCTGCAATCCTGCACGTTTTCCACGCGTTCTACTCCGGACAGCGTGAGTTGAGCTGGTTAGCAAACGCGGCTGCAGAGGGGACATGACAGGGATGCCATGTGTAGAGACCACACTTGGTCGCATCTGAGGCAAGTGCTTCAATTAGATGATTCGTCCCGTGGTCATTTGCTTGGTCTCCTTTCCAGCCTGATGTCGGAGACGACTGGTCCGAATTCGCTTGTGTTCCTTCGCTTTCGGCACGGGTTGGCTTATGAGCTCTCCACGGTCGTGCGTGCCTCATCGAGTGTTTCTTGCCTGTGGGAGACGGGACCTCCGTGTTAGTGTTATTCAGTACATTTTCAATTACAGCGTAGACCAGGACGAGGAGAGGAGACAATTAGACCAATTGAAGACCCTGTAAGCTTTTTCTAAATCCTTCATGGAGAATGACGACTAAGCTTGATGGATTGCTATGCATTTCTTCGGTTTATTTTGATAACAAGTCTCGTTGCACGTGGGTGCACGAGTCTTCTTTATCATATTGTTTCACAGATTAGGTTAACCTCGGTCAACGGATAAGTATGATCTCGTGATCTTGAGGTCAAATGTTGAACTTTTGACATTCACCGTTCCTACCCCAAGCAAGTCCTCGGATATTCTCCAACTCTTCATTTTTCTTGATACAGGCTTCCGAAAGACACCATGTTAGCATGCCCAGATGATTGGTTGAGGTCTGAGGATAAAGCTTCTCACGGAAATGCTTGCCTGGTACTCACTGTTTTTCACACGCGTAAGTCCCCATGAGTTCAGGGGACTAAGGTTGACGCCTCCAATAGTATTTCTGATCACGACGGCATCATATGGTTGATGTATTCATCGGGTATATATAGGTTGGTGTCAGAACGAGCAAGGCAAAATTCAAACTTCGAGTCGGCCATCACAACCCAATTCCCCCAAGATGAATCCATTTTTCATATGGTGGAACTAGATTAGGACCAAGAATCCGCACCTTACAGTCAGTTTTCCCCAGGGCTGCTTTTAGTCGGATCATTTTCTTGGTCCAACTGTAGATCGCCACAAAGCTATACAACAGTGTCGGCTCTAGGGTCCAATCAAGACTAGATTGAACTATATTAAAAACAAGTAATGGACTACTCCGACCAGGTTGCGTGCTTAAGCATGTTTTGAGCGGAGTAATTGGCCTCATCCAACTTTAGTCTTTCCACAGCTCTGCGGTGGAGGTGTAGCAGGTGGGCTCTTGGTGGCTGGGTGTTCAAACCCTAGTTCTCTTATTTAAAGAGAGAGAACTCTCACTACACATTTGACGACGTTCAAGTGCCGGCAAAATCGACAAGGTTCCAGGATGTTACCTCCTGGAAGCCCACCATATAATCCTTCTTAGGGAGAGTTTTTCCATTAGAGAACTACGGAAAGAGCTCTTCAGAGAGAGTAGGGACCCGCATGAGACCCGATCCATCGCATCATCTTCGGAAAACCACGGGCAGGCACCCGTTATCAACGCCCTTTGATGACTTTGACAGAAAGCTTGCTCCCGCGGCGGCCTATGGCCGCCCCTAATCCTCCTAGGGGGGGCCTCCTTCGGTCAGCGACGACGCCCGCGTCCCAGACGGCGGCGAACTTTGCGGCGGGCTCCACTCCACCTTCTTCTTTCCCCATCCTTTCCCTTCAGAGGCACGTCCGCGGTTTGGATTGCTTCTCGCGTTTAGCCGCAGCGGCGCCCGGAAGTCGTCCGCTTGAGCCTCAGATACGCCCCGCGTGTTCCGCCCTCAGGGAGCAATGCACGTTGCCGTCTACGCTTTAGAGGCCGGCCAACCCACGAGCGGCCTCACCCCCTCTCGAGGAGATTAGATTATGTTATCATCATCTCCTACATGGTTGCTGGGTGCACCATCTTAAGGGCCAGGGGGGGGTTAAGGCGGCTTCGGCATTGATTAGACTGGATCAGTACGTAGGGCCAAGCCATGGCTAATGGCCATTAGCAGCACCCCAAAAGTTGGTACAGGCAAACTACAAACTACGAACGTGGAACTAAATAGCTGTTTTCGTAGATTCGGTTTGATATGATACAGTTTGTTTGACCGTAAACATACGGCGTGGAGGGATTAATGATGGTGACCAGATTGATTTATGTGGGGTGTAAGACGCGAGCCGGTGATACCAACGTGGAAGACTGTGCCCGAGCATGCACCGACGGCAGCGCCCCCGTGCCTTTTCGTATGCTTGATAGGCGTGCGATAGTGCCCCCGTCATCTCGTCTTTTCCGGCTAGAAATGATCTCGAGGAGCACACGATGCTGACCTCGCTGCAGAGTTATCGAGGTTGTCCTTTCAACGTGTCGATCGCCCACATAACCACGCATCTTCCTCTTAAATTCATAGTTCCCCCCCCTAACACGTTTCAGAAGAGAAATCAACCGCGTAAGTGAGGAGAATCAGGGGCGGCTCTGAGGAAACGCGGACATCCCGCGCTGTCACTGTTTTTGTCTCTCTCAGGGGAATATGATGGAACCCCTTCGCTGCCCATGACGAAAACGTGCAGAGAAATCAAGTAAATGAAAAAAAGATGATGGTTTAGAGGGAGAGGAGACCTCTTGTGCACGAGAAAATCGTTCCCCTAAACCTTTTAGAATTTTTTCGTTTGAACTTGATCGCACTCATCCGCTCATCTTTATGTCCCTCTGAGGCTCTGCCAGCGTCAAATTACTCATTTCGTGATCAACGACAGCTCGCAGCATTCAATCCCGATGCCATCCGCAAGCAGCTTCAAGAATGACGGCCGCGTTTATTATTGGTTTTTATCTTGATCACATCCAAATGGTGTATTAAGTGCCGGAGAAGCCTAAAATTTCTCGGTTCTTGCTGTCAAAGACTACTGGCTCTTCATTCGAGGAAAGATGCTGGGAAGGTCAAAGGAGGGAAAAGCTAGAGATGGATATGGATAGATAGCGAGAGAGGGAGGGAGAGAGAGAGACTCTGTGTCTTCATGATATGCCAGTTGGGAGGAGAGAGAAGGGGAGGACGGCGTTCTTACTACGGGACGTTCCTTTCCGTTGACTTTCGACTCCCTGCTCTACGGGAAGCGTCTGGGTAATCCATAGCTTCTCTGGGAGGAGAAGCCTCAGCCATGCACTCCACCCACCGTCACTCCGCCCCCCCTTCGTGTGCATGCATGAGAATTAAGTACGGTCAGCAGTCGCGTGATGTCTCTTCCTTCATCGTGGACTGTGCAGACCCATCCGCGCACATTGACTTTGGCTACTGTTGCTCTCATTCTTCCCGCCATCAGTCTATTTCTCTTAGATAACGGGAAGGCACGAGAGAGAGAGAGAGAGAGAGAGAGAGAGAAAGCGGGGGGGAGGAGAAGAGCGGATTTTTCTTCGAGGAGAGGACGTGGCAAAGCTGATAATCTACGTTTGCTTACTTGAGGAAGAAGACACGCAGGAGGAAGGGGCTTCTGTAGCTTTTTTCAAGGTTTTTTTAACGAAAGCGAGACTGTTGAGCTGTACGGTGCGTATCGTCGTCCTGTTCGCATCATAACTTTAGAATAACACGATGTCAGGTCTTTTGCGACAGTCGCCGTCCTTGTCGAAGATACGGTTTCGGAGACGTCGTTTTCCGAATGTCAAAGTCAAAGTTCTGTGATAAGTCGTCCTCTACAGCCCTAGTGATTCCCCAATCAAAAGGACCTACGATACGCGTACGACGCAGCTCTGCCCTGCTCCATCCGAGAGAGAGAGAGGGTTGTAAACTATCTCCTGAAGGAGCAGATGCTTGCCAAGTTCGGGTCTTTTAATGGGCGCAAATATAGGCCCATTAACGTGGGCTTCTCTACATACCAGCCAAGTTAATTCCAGGTTGTTAGAGAGAGAGAGAAAGATATATAGATAGATAGAGAGAGAGAGAGAGAGAGAGAGAGAGAGAGAGAGAGAGAGAGAGAGAGAGAGAGAGAGAGAGAGAGAGAGAGAGAGAGAGAGAAATGGATTTCGCTGGGACTGGTGTCGCAGGGCCTGTTTTTCATAGATGTATGGATGTAATCATTCCAGAAACACTTTCCAAGTGTTATAAAATTTCTCAGACAGTAACGAGCCTCATCGAAGTTTGCCTCTCTCTCTCCATCTCTCTCTTTCTCACTCTACCTACAAGGGCTATCTATTTATCTCCGTGAATCTAAAAACTAGACAGGGTTGTCTTCTGATTTTCTTGCATTCCTAATTGTCGACCCCCTCTAAGTCACTGAACTAGAAAAAATAGAATTTTGTTCCACATTTAGGAACAAGCACTCCCTCAGATCGTAATGAAGAAAAAGCCCCCGCTTTTTTCTGGAATTAGAATATCCTGATAATCCGGAAAATCCCACTCCATTACATTATTCGAGAAAAACACCGAGTTTTAAGAAAATTATTGTAAACTCAAATCAAAAAACGATAAAATAAAGTTTATAATTCAAGAACCAAATAACCCACATTTCCATTCAATAATCTAACCTTTGGTTATGACGGATAATTAATCTGGAGCGTAAGTAGGATTTCAAAAGAGTAGAGAGAAACCCGAGAGCAAAGCCATCAAGAGCAGCCACTGTTCTACCAAACCAGCAGAGTTTACAGTCCATCAAACCTCCATTATTCACCTCAAGCAACTAGATTTCTCCAAGAATCAACCAGAGAATAGGATTATTATCCGGTGGGCTTCGACGATGGAGCAGATGGAGTATGGCGCCCGCCCACATCATCTTGGCCCCGGTTCCTCGGCCCGGACATTGGAGCCCACCGCCGGCCCTACTTCTAGCCGGTCCTTGGTCATCTCCACAAAGTGGCCGATCATCTCATGGAACTGGGCCAGCGCCGATAAGGGGAGAATGATCGAGGAGCGATCAGCGCCGGCTACCTGCAGTAGCCATCCACCAGGAAGATTAATTACCCAACTGGGCAACAAAAAAGAAAAAACAGGAACTCCGAGGGTTTGAGATTGGTTTTTCGAAGACCAAGGGACCTCGGATATCTTCAAGAAATGGCCCCGGTTGTTGCTCCCCAGGTCGAAGAAGAACCTCTTCTGGTCAGCTCTGATCACCTTGGAGACCCCAAGGCCGCCACCACCGCCACCGCCACCACCAACGCCACCGCCACCACCACCACCACCGCCGATCTCGTCGTGGGGGGTGTGGTCGGCGGATCGCTCGATATCCAGCTCAGGCCTGGGGGCCGACTGGGCGATGAAGCCGGCACCCACGTCGTCAGAAAGCCCAAGGAGGCGATCGGGGGCCTCTGAGCCCTGCTGTATGATCGAATAAGATAGGAAAGTGGTGATCCTGCAGGCCCCCCATCGTATCAGACGATCAGCAGCTTAATATTCCATTACCTGATGGGATAAGATGATTTGGGCCAGGATGTCCTTGAAGGAGACCCAGCCATCTTCACCCTGGGCACTGCCTCCGGGGACAATGATCGTGCTGCGGTTTCTGTTTGCAGATGCCTCTGAAATCTGCAGTGGGGATCGGCCCAAGTGAGAGCACTGGATATCTTAATCACTGTTCTAAGTAGAATATGTGCTATTAAATTCATAGTCTTCCCCTCTATTTTGGCTCACCAAAACCAAGATTGACGACCAGATTATACGCCAACAACTGCCTATTAAGCTAATCCATGCCTGACTAATTAATGAAGAACTCGAGCAAGAGCTACCCAAAAGCAATGCGACATTCGTGGAGGATGGAGACAGAAATTGCTTATGCCCGAGAAAAGAAAGTTTGCTAATTTATGCAGGGCCTTGAAATCTGAGAATAAAACATGAATTGGGTAGTCGTGTTCTTCGTTTAGATCCAAAAACGGGGAGGAATCCATGGATTGGATTATGTGTACACAGATGATACAGGGAAGACCGTGCATCATCGAATCAGACCACAAGATTGCGGCGGGAACATTTTTTTTACTCCAAAGAACATGACAGAAGAGTAACCAGCTCAAATCCGAGGACACTATAATAGATATGCTCGTATATATGTATATATATGTACGCACATATATGTTTATATACATAGATTTGTAGTGATGAAGCCAAGGTCAGCGATTGAGTGCAGAGATCATTACCGACAATTGAATTAATAATAATAAAATAAGCATATTCAGATTTACGAGCAAATCCAATACGCCTTTGCTCTTTTTACAAATGGAAATTGCCACATTATGTATCCAAAGATATTCTTCTTTGGATTCAGTTAGAACCATCCCATACTGAGATTGGGCAACCCAATAATTATTATATCAACTATTACAGCTCCAGAGTAAATCTTCCAAGCTGACCAGAAAGCGCTTCAATTTAGGCAGCTAATGACAGAATGAAATTAATGCTAAGGGGTCATTCAAAACGCTTTTGTGGCAAAGAACTAGCACTGATATTATTATAAAGATAAATCATTTACAAAATCCGGAATTCAATTTGCCTCACCAGAGGGGGGGGGGGGGGGGTTTCAAGAACATCTTATTAGAAAAAAAAGGAATAAGAATTTCATAAATTTGTCGCAGCAGGATTTCCGGCACAGATCCTAAAATGCCTCAGGCCAGGTGGGGTTCCAGCATGCTATTAGTAGATGAAAAACGGAATAAATATTTAATAGAACACAGATCCAAAATGTCTCAGGTGAGGAGGCTTGTCAGCATCTTATTATTCGAAAAAATAAGGAATAAGAATTTTAAAAAACCGAAATTCAATTCGTCACAGATGAGGAGATCAAGCTATTATTATCAGAAAAAAAAGGATGGATAATTTTAAAAAAATCAGATCCATTTTTTCACGGGTGAGGAATGTATACACACATAGGTCCTTAGCTCTAATCACAGCAAGTAGGGTTTATCTGGGTTCTCTACTATAAGAAATATTTTTCTCATCAAAGAGCATTAATAAATTCATGAAATATTATCACCGGTGCTTTCGTTTTTTCCCCCTGAAAACTCATCGAATCAGAAAAAAAAACCCTTGTTTCATGATTTTAGGCAACAATCTCTTTTTTATCCTAAAATAAAAAAAGAATATCCACAGAATCTTTATTACCGACTGCCACACATCGAATAACAAAGCAAACCTGTCTACTTATCAGCAATCGTACAACCCACAAGACGGTCAAAGAAGGAGATCAGACGACTCAGGATAGAAAATTAGATTCACATCAACTGTGCCATGTTGAGGCACCTCATTGACACCATCGAGTAGGAATTCCGTGAAATATTAATCAATGCAAAAATATAGAGTCCTATCCATACCACTCGGCCACAGTCAAGTCAGAAACAAGTGTGTTAATCGGCAGAACGGTTGACTTTTGCACAGGTAGAGATGCCCAATTTGGTCCTTAATTGATCCTTTCAAATGGCAGCAAACACAGTGCGCATATCCATAGCAATAAACGGAAGAAATAATTAGAAAGGAATTTTTTTAGCTGATTTGTTCCAGGGAGTCTGATGCAAGGCCCCAATAAATCATCAGCTCTACCAGGTTGGAAGAATCGATGAAGCAACAACGACAGAGGGCGTGCTCGCAGTACCTTCAAGAAGCGCCCCCTTTTGTTCGCCCCGACGTCGAAGTAGAACACCTGCGCAGAGGAAAGGGAACATCGCATCCACAATACAATGGAGAAGAAGAGGAATGAGAAGTGCGGGAGTGGTACCTTGGTGTCGAGCTGGAGCTCCTTGCTGACGGCTTCCTGCTCGACGGTGTTGACGTAGTAGTTGAAAATCTCGTGGAACCAGACGATCCCGTTGTCCGGGACGATGATGGTGGACCGAGTGGCCGACGTCTTCTCCGAGATCTTCAGGTACTTTCCCCGGGGGTTCTCCTTCAGATCGAAGTAGAACAGCTTGTGCTCGACTTGCAGAGTCTTACAGAGCAATTCCACGTCGCTCCCGCCCGAGGCCGCCTCCATCCCTCACCTCCCTGCTATCCACTACCCAAAATTCCACCGATAAAAAGGAATTATCTGCCCCGAATCTTCACGGATTGAAGTAACCCCGGTAGACGAAAAATCCACCTTCTCCCTGCCTCCTACGTGATGGAGCCACCCGCATTCCCAATAAGGGCGGCGAAGAAGAGGGGTGGGCGGCAGTGTGTGGGGACTAAAGTTAGGGTTAGGGTTAGGGGTTGGAGCCCTGAAGGAGCCATCGCCCGCGCTGGCTCTGGCCCCCTCTTTAACCGCCCGATCTCGGAGACCTCACGTCGCGGGTTTCACGCACGTTTGGCCCGACGTTGACCGCTCCCTGTTTTCTACCTTCGCCGCCCACTTCACCGTCGAGCAGTAAAAACCCAACGCCTAGCGGGAATCGACTGCACTCCACCCTCCCTGCCATAGCCTGAGACCTGAACCTCAGCCCCGCGACTTTTTCTGCAAAGATTGGAACTTTTAACCTACCCCCCCACGCAGTAATGGAGATGATCGATCACCTTGCAATCGTCAAAGTATAATAAAAATTATCGTAATGCGCAGTCAATGGTAGATGGCTCCAAACAATTATGAAAAAGAAAAACTTGACCCAACCTCAATCTGGGAGGAAAAAGAAAAAGAATCTCCAGAAATGCTGGACCCCGTCAAGTCCAAAAACCCTGTTGTCTGCACCTGCCGAAGGAAGAGAGAGCCGGACAGAGAAGGGGGAGAGGGAGGGGATGAAGTCAAATGAGTAATCAAGACGAACTCTTGCTTTGCGATGAGCCAACAAAAATTCTCACCAAAATTTCCATACCCTCATCTATAAATCGTTGTAATTGTTATTTTCTTTTTCTTCCCAGGACGGGTACTCCCCGGTTGAGTCTTCCTCGGGCTCCTCGGAGCTGACAACGGGCAAGTTCCTCCTGTACTGCGGCGAGGTGAGCCTCCTCTCCAATGGCGTCTTCCTCTTGCTGACGACGAACCGATTGATCCCCTTCCTCATGGGCATTATCTCCGGGAAGTCCTCGTCGGGGATCTTGCTCAGCTCCGATATGTCGGTGATCTGAGCGACTCTGCGGAACCATCTCTGCGCCTTGGCCTCCTCCGACATGTCAAGAGGATCAGGCTCTGTCACCGCCGATCCCTCCAGGCTCTTCTCCACGGCCTCCTCAGCTGGAGATCCGCCACTGAAACCTCCGCCATCATCATCACTCCACGAATCATCCTCTTGCTGGGCAAAGCTGTTGGCTCCAGAAGGAACAGCTCCCTCGCTTCCGCCATTAGAGTCCGCCACAGAGCTGCCGTCGGAATCCTCGACTGAGGGTTTCTCGTCCTTCCTCGCGAAGTAGCCTGGCGGAAAAGGAACGAACGGCACGAAGTTGGGGCTTCCGGCCTGCTCCATGGCGACCTTCCTCTTGTACTGCGGAGAAGTCAGGGACCGGTCCTTCTTCTTGCTGACGACAAACCTGTTCTCCCCCTTGCGTATCGGCATGATCTCTGGGAAGCCATCGCCGTCGCCGGTTTCCGGCCATCCCTCTGAAGGGCTCGGCGATCCTCCGGCCATCTTGCCCGCATTCCCACTGCTGAGGCCTTGGGAGACTGGGGATCCATCGGGCTTCCCAAACCCAGCATCTGCGAGCCGATCGACCTTGCCGGAGGTGGAAATCTCTTCAACCGGCGGGGGGGTCTTCCTGAACATATCCGCAGGCAAAGGCACAAAGGGGGCATACCCGGAATCTCTCCTTCCCGGAGACGAAGAGCCGCTCCCTGTGGCGGCTTCAGTCGTCGGAGATGAGCGCCCAAGAATCCTGTCCAACCTCCGACTTATCGCCGACTCTGATACATTCTCTGATTCTTGCTCTCCCATGGCGTCCTTAATCGCTGTCGACCCACCATTTCTACCATCTCTCAGCCTTCCTTCCAGGGTTGAGAGCTCCTCGGGCCGCTTGTGGTCGCACCTCAAGCAGGAGACATTTCTCCCGTGGTTGAAGAACTCGCATCTGGGGACAAGCATGAGACAGTGACTAAAGATCATAATTTTCTAAAAGTAGGCATAATGCCCGGCCTAGAGTCAACGTGGGACTCACTGGGGGCACTCCCACTCTCTACCGGTCAGCTGCCTCCTGGGGCGATCCTCTCTGCAATGAAGACAATACATATTTCTTGAGGAGTCCATGAAACTACATCTGAAAGACGGCAGACGCTATAGCAACATGGATTAACAGGCATAAATATTTCCCCAATAAATTCATGCTATAGAAAGGAAAATAGGGTAGAACATCTCCAGGATATATGGGAGAAATAGACATGGGTCCAACCCATTCATGGAAATATCTAGAATTTGCTATGAATCAAGGGATGTAATTTTTACCTAGATCTACGACCTCACTTCTTTATTCAACGATGTTGTTAATGTTCCATTGATGATGATGATGATGATGACGACGATGATGACAGCGAATAAAACCATAAAATAAAGCTTTTTATCCGAAACTATTATGAAATTTCTGATTTCTGAAGTTGTTGATAGATCTCTAGGATTGAGATGGCGTAAGATAGATAGGATAACAGCAGTTACTGGTCTCATTAACGACGATGATCATCATCATGATCATCAATAAAATAAAGCTTTTCCATAGGAAAATATGAGGAAATCTCTGGTTTGTGAGGATTATTACACATCATTAGGATTGGGATGGCATTAAATCGACGGCACTGGTTCCATGACGAATAAAAATAAATCTTTTTGCAGTAAAAATAAAAATAAAAGGCCTGGGTTTTGAAGGTAACAAACACAAAACCAAATAAGGAAAGAATATCTGGTCTTACTTTGGAGAAATCCAGTCTCCCCTCTTCATTTCAACCCTTTCCCCTCGAGGATCTGGAGATGGTTCATATTTCAATGTAGTCTGTCCGGCTTCCTGAACATCCCCATTGATCTCGGCCAGCTCAAGGAGCAGGCTCCGGGCAGAGGCTTCTGCAAGCTCGTCAGGGTTTCTGTCCTCTCCACCAGCTCCAGCTCTGTAATGAGAGTCATATGCATAGCTCAGCAGATATCTCATCACATCTACTGTGAGGGCTTGCCCGGCCCCAAGAGCCTGCAAGAGCAAGAAGAGAAAGGAAACATTGATCTTTCAAGATAATTATCTCAAATCAAATGAGTCTTTAATTGGCAAATCCATGAGAAAAAGGAACACCGATTTTCTAGAATCTCAACTCAGATGGCTCATAAATACAGATATTCACATGTATTTGCAGCTCCAAACACTCATCTAAACTGAAATCGCACAGGCTACCATTATCATAAATGTGTTTGATAATCCCCTTTTTCCTGGGTTACGAAACTAGATTCCCAATATTTATATTTTTATCATTCAATGTGACGCAAATCGGATTGCCAACGAGAGAAATAAACGCACAATTGGACTTCCCATTCAATGTGAGACCGTTCTAAGAACAAAAATTGCAAGAAAAAAAAAACCAATCCTACCAAAAATGGAAAAAATTAATGCTTCAACCCTTTATTTTCATCCTCTAACTCGCAAAGATGGTGCAGAATTCAAGCTTCAGACACTATTTTGGCATGCGGAGTTCATAACCAGGAGAAGAAGGAGAGATGAACGGGGTTGCTTGATGAGCTCACATTACTTCCATTGCCGTCTATAAATTGCTTCATCCGCCGGACTGAGTTCACGCCATTCTTAAACAAGAATGGGGACCCATTCTCCACGAGAACCTCGACGTCCCTCCTCGGTAGAGACCTATGGAAAGAAGGACAGACCCAGATGGAGCATATTGAGAGTTTTCGCAGGATCACTGCCAATTTCAAGAAAATAAAGCAACGGGACAAGAAAAATTGTCCAGGAATAAGAGATTTCACCTCAGAAGGTCAGGCCGCTCACGGGCGAACAATAGGCATGCTCTGGCGGCCTTCGTGAACTCCTCCGGTATCTCCCCGCATATTGAGAAAGAATCTTCGTCGTCCTCCGGAAACGCTGGAAGCCCCTGCCGGCCCACATATCCACCGGCGGTCACATGCTCCACCATCTTCCGCCACTCCGGCCATTTCCCAGGCGATTCGCCCGCCTCATCCCCAACGCTCGCGCTCTCCCCGTGCGCCTTCCCCGCAGATCTCAGAGGGTTTCCATACAGAGCCTGGGAGCCAACAGAGGGGAGACGGAGCGAGGCTGAGAAGCGGGCGACAGAGAGCGAGATTGAGAGGGGCTGAGAAGAGTGGGAGCCCACGCGGGGAAGAAGAGAGGGGTGAGGGCTCTGCAGTGGGAATGGAGTGGAGAGAAGCATGAGGCACTTCGAAGCTCCTCCCATCTTCAAAGCCTCGCTTCGCCGGAGACGACGGACCTTATCCGTCCGCTGGCGGGGAGGCGACGAAGGGGAAGGAGAGGAAGGAGGAAGGAGGAAGGCGATGATCCTGGAAAATGTCGTTTTTTATGTGTGCAAGATTGAGCAATATCTTCCGTTCAAATGATCCCCCATTGGAGGATTGTCTTGAAATAAATCGAAAAAAATACATATTTGGCTGATAATTCAAAATAAAAACTGGAAAAATAGAAACTAATATAAGACTGTTGTTAACTTAATGAAAAATTTAATTAATATAGTATTCAAACTAATATAAGACTAATATACATATTTGGCTGATAATAAGTCTATAAATCAATTAGTGACGCAATTGTTGCCATAAAAATTAAAATTAAAATTAAAATAGAAAAAATGTAAGAGTGAAGATGTGAGAAATCCTTGTCTTGATATTTTCCAAAGTTCTAAACTTTGTTTAAGAAAAATGGCCCAATGAAGCCCAAAAGCTCATGAAACTTTGGCTTGACCCATATCAATCTTGTTAATTAAGTAGCTTACAAGTTTTTTTTATTACCGTGATAGCTCATGAAAAGGAGATGAAGGAGAGAATTAGGGCCCAATATCTCAAGCATTAGCAAAATCACATAAATGAGAAAGGCCCAAAAACGACAGCCCAAAAGGCCCAAATTATTGAAAAATTGTCATCTCAAATGCCTCTGCATCATTTCTATGTCAAAACTCATTTCAGAATATTTGAACCGTGTTTCCAGTTTTTAGAAAAAAAAAGTGTTATTTTTTTCAGTAAATCCTTTTTTATATTATTATTATGATTAGTATTATTATTATTATTATTAATGGCCTGCGTGAGCATTATTTGGACCTCTTTATCTCATAATGGACATGGGAGAACTTGGGACAAGTTTTTTTTTTGGTTCTTGGGGACTTAATTATTACCTTATTTCATTCATAGTTGAATCAAAGCATTATCAACTTCAGTTCACTGTGATTTTAGGTCTCAACATTCCTCCCAAACACCCCAAACTTTAGTTGATGTAAGACCCATAATACATGCCCCACCTCATCTGAGAGCTAAATTCAATAAGAGGTGATATCAAGACATCACAATATGATATTAATTTTTATATATTAGTTGTTGATGGTTTTTCTTGACTAAAAATATTAGATAGTGAATCAAGGAAAAATGGGTAGACCTAAGATTCCAAAGTCATTCCCTCCTCCCTCTTGGGTCCTCATTGTGGCCCAACAAGGAAATGGAAGTGCTTTAATGGGCCAATAGAATACTAGGAAGCAAGTTTAATTTTGGTGGCACCTAGTGTTGACAAATGTAGTCATGCAAATAACTAAAGAACTCCAAAAATATAGAAAATGCAAAATATATATATATATATATATATCAAATGTATTTTCCTTATAAGAATAATTATTTCCAATGATTTAGCAACCCACAATGTTGTAATATCTCAAATTGATAGTAACATTGTAGACAAATCATCTTGTAATAGAAAATCAATTTGTGACATACTATTTTATGGTTTAAAGGAAAACAAAAATCCTACATCCACACCAAGAAAAATAAAGCTGATGTGAAAATAATAATAATAATAATAATAATAATAATTTTTGCATAACTCCTTTGAAATACTTAGAGCATAAAGTACATCTTTTCTTGAAACCAATAGGAACACTTGATGAGAAAGAGGATTAATGCTTACATATTTCTCTCTTTTTACTTAAAAACTCCCATCTTTTTACTATGGAGAAGTTGTAGGTCTTGGAAACATGTAGAATGACTTCCTCACCTTTTCTTGTGACACCCAAATGCCCTAAAAGGAGAGTGAAAAGTCACTTTCCATTTTTCTACTTTTGAGCTGCTATTTATGGCTCATTAATTTGGGTAGTCAATAATAATATAGACCTCTGGTAGCATCATCCCCAGCATGATGCTCTTTGTTGGGTTGTTGAAGCAGTAGTTGTAGTAGAAGCAAAAGTTGTGGTCAGTTTTGAGAGAAAGAGAGAGGTAGACAAACAAACATGACATACATAGACATAGAGAGAGAGAGAGAGAGAGAGAGAGAGAGAGAGCTGCTATTATTCTTTGGTGAAATGGCCATTCACATCTGATTATGTAAGCTTCGAAAGATTAATCACCTACTTCAATTTTATTCTATAATTAGTCTAATATATTATACATTTGTTGGACATACAATAAGAATATTTTCTCACAAAAAGGGTGATAAGGTTGCGATTCTTTTTTTTCCCAAGGAAAAATGCAATACCCATAGTAAATTATTCTTATATATCTTCATACTTTTCTCATAGATAAAATAAAAATCCTCTCTCACATGAAGGGTCATACATTTCTCTTCATACACATGATATATTCATCCTATGTATAATAGAAATGTTTCCTACTAGATATTTTTCAAAAAAAAGTAAGATCTCATTCTAATTAATTCCTTATTAATAACTATTTACCATATATTTTTCAGGGAATTAAACAAGAATATTTGGTCACAAAAAGGTTAATATGTTTGTGATTATTTATTTAGAATATAAAAAGTAAGAACCCACCTGAACTTATTCCTCAATTACATTGATTTATCATTCATTTCACTGAAAGCAAAGTCAACTCCCTCCTCCATCTGTCACCCCCCACTATGGGGAAAAGACCCCGTGAGTGTGTGAGGGCCTACGATTGACGTTCTGATCAGACAGAAAAAACCACCACAAGAATATTAAAAAAATCAAGGACAGAAGCTGCAGGCCATCTAATTTCCGTTGACTATTTACAGCACCACCGTGGAGAAATCGCCATAAAAATACAACATCAAAAGGGAGAAGCCGCATCCTCAGATGCAGCTAGCTTCACAAAGAAGCGCCCCCCAACCCCACCAGGCGAGCTCCACAGAAAAGTCGTCAACATGCAGATGAATGAGGGAGTCAACGCTCAGTCTCCTCTCTCCTATGCATGCGAAAAAAGGAAAGAAAGGGGGAAAAAAAGAAAAAACAAGTCACGAAGAAACCGGCGTCAGATCCATTCCCTGAAGATCTCCGACGGCGGCCGGAGGGTTGGGGGGGGGAAGCTTAGGTGCTCTCCTTGAAGGCCTGCGAGCGAGAGAGGGCGGCTGGGTTGACGTGAGGGACCTGGAGCCCTTCCAGAGGGCGGCGGTCTCCGGCGGCGATGCCGGTGGCGGCGGCGGATTTGGGATCGAAGCCTCTAAAGATGCCGCCGCTGCGGATCTTGGGGTCGGGGTTGATGCCGAGGGTCGCCCAGATGGAGCTCTTGGCGGCCTCGTCGGGGTCGTCGATCCTCAGTGTCTTCGGCACCCAGATGGAGGAGGTCTCTGCCACCTTCCCCGCGGCGGCGCAGGCGGAGGACGGCGCCACCGCCGCCGGCGAGGCGGGTCCGGCCCATGGAGCGGCGGCCCACGCCGGGCTGGCCGGCCACGCGGACATGCAGCTCCAGAAGAAGGTCGGAAGCAGAGGGAAGGGGACCGCGGCGGCGGCGGCGGCTGCGGCGGAAGCCCCGTTCCAGCCCACCGGCCACGGGTAGCAGTGGACGGGCGGCGGCGGCGGGAGACCGGCGTCGGCGCCGTGGAGAACGGCCGCCGCCTGCTCCTCGCCGTAGGGGAGCTCGCCCTCCAATCCAGTCGAGGCCGTGAGAGACGACGATGCGCAGGAGGGCTCGCCGGCGTTGTCGCCGCTCCGCGCCGGCCTGGCCACGGCCACGGCGGGCTTGGGGGCGCCGCTGTGGCGGGAGTGGAGGCCGGTGCTCTTGTTCTTCCTCCGGCCGGCGCCGACGGGGACGTTCCTCATCGTCCCGCCGGCCGTCCAGTACCTCTGGCAGTTCTTGCAGAAATGCCTCGGCTGGTTGACGTTGTAGTTGTTGTAGTAGCAGAACTTGGTGTTGGAGCTGTTGCAGCGTGGGCAGGGGAGGATCTTGTCCGGCTTCTTCAGGGCCACCTTCAGATCGCCCTTCAAACTCTTCGTCTTCCCCTGCTCCACCATCGCCGTATCTCCCTCCTCCTCCTCCTCCACCTTGGGGGAGTCCTCGTTTTCGCAGCACACAGTGGAGGACGCATCCAGCTCACTGTACTCGGCTTCCTCCTCCCTCTTCTCCAAAAACTCCATAGCCTCTGCCTCTGAAGTCAGAGTTTCCCCGCTCGCATTCTGTGAAAAACGAGCATTAAAAACCTGTTAGATGATCGCGGAAAGGGGGCGCATTCCTCATCCCTAATTTCTTCGCTCTGTTTCATTCAATATGGGACAACCCAGGAGACGGGTTCGAGCGTTTTAGGTTTTTAGAGAGGGATCTTTCCATGAAAACGATGAGGAGATCAAGACTTCGAGAACTGGAAGACGAGATCCAGAGCGTCCGCCTCTTCCCTGGGAAACCCGAAGAATTCTAGACTGAGCCAGAGCTTCTAGATCTCCAGCAAAGCAGAGGCCGCCGAAAAAAAGAAAGGCAAGTCCCCACGGAAGAATCCCCGCAGATCCCCTGCGCAGTCAGAGGAACGACGAGCTTCCGCAAATCCCATTCCGCAGGACTCACATGAATCCGAGAAACACATCTCAGGAGAATCTTCTGGTGTTCTTCCCAGGAAAAAGGAAAACCGAGGGGGAGCAGACAGAGAGAGGGGGGCGGCCCTCACCTTGTCCTCGACTGAGACGTTGACCGGAGGAGAGCTGGGCTTCTCCGCCGCCTCTCCCTGGGCCTCGGGCAGCGGAACCGTCCTCCCGAAGAGCTTCAGACCCGGACCCCTCACCTCAGGCATCTCCCCCCCGCCAAGAGACCCCCTCTCCCTCGTTCCTCCCAAGGACCCACCTCCGCAGATGGCATATTATCCGCTTCTTCTGCAGGGAGGAGAGGAAGAAGAAGATGGAGAATTCGGAGGTCGCAGGGGGCGCAGAAAAGGTCACACAGAAGGGGGGGGAGGGGAGGAGAAAGCAGGAGGAGAAAAAGGAGGGGAGGCACTGTGGGAAGGGGCCCACCGGCGTCGACCGGCGGTGGCCGGTCAGATCCTCCGGCGCCAGCCAGGCGTCCGAGTCAGCGGCTGGGGGCATCCTCAGCCACGAATTCCCCAGGCCGCCAACGCCCCCGCACGGTGCCCCGTGCGAGGCGCTGCGGACCCCGCTCCCTCCGCCGAAGGCAATTTTTTAATTGAATCCCACTTTTTTTTAAAAGGTTGACTTTTCTTGTTGACTGAGGATTCTATCCAAGCTTTAACCAGAAAATTCATATTAATTATATAATAAATTAATAAATTATTTTCCACCGCACAATAATATAAATATTTTAACGCAGAAATTTAGTTTCATACGGGGCCCACCATAGAGGGGCAGGCACGTCAACTCACTAAGCAGATATTTCCCCCATCCGATGGAGTCACGTGATCGCTTTTCGGAGCTGGGCCTACTGTCCAGCTTGTCCCGGGCTTATCCGCCAGGCACGTGACATATCGGTGTTTCCCCGTGGATAATGGAATCTCTCTGATCCTGACACTTGTCACCAAGCTAGCCTGCCACGCGAGCAGACCATCACGCCGGGAAGCCGCTGACTCGGCCTTGGATGCGGCTCCACGTGTGCTGGAGAGAAAAAAATCCACTGGCTGTGGACCCCACAGCTGCTGCTGCGCACGATCAGCGGGAAAAAAAATCCACTTCGGGGACGGACATCCGCCACTACTTTCCGTCGCGGCCTGGACTGCTCGCGCGGCTCTACTCCACAAGATCCTACAAAAGATCTATCCGACAAGTGGAGGCCGGACTCTCTCTCTCTCTCTCTCTCTCTCTCTCTAGCTTTCTTTCTCTAGCCGTGGAATGACAGTGGGTCTTCAGAAAGATCTGGAACTCGTGGAGGAGGACGACCGGGGCAGTGGGTCCCAGAAAAATCTAGGGTAATTTAATTCTGCTGACCGCCTTATTGCCGCGAGGAGGGGGGCCTCGTATGCTGACGTAATCATAAATGGGACCGTTCGTCACGCGGTTCGGAAGCCCACGCTGAGATGTCAGTGTGTGGGCTTACAGTGATGCGGCCCAGAGGAGGACGGGCCAAAACCCGTTACGATAGTTGGGCCTTTATAATGGGCCACATTAGCCCAGAATTCTGATTTGGGCCGAACATAACAGGTATGTGTACCGTTTTGGCCTACATAAACCTTGAAGCACACGCAACCGCTGCTCCTGGTAGAGTTAAGAATGAAACAACAAGAAAGTTAGGTATGTTGAATTTTCTATTTATTTGAATTTACCTACAACGAGTATTTATGTTTTTTGTCTATCTATATCACACTTTATTTGACTTGATTGTGAATGGGCTGGACCATAAAGGTCAATGGGTTTCACTATATGACAATATTAATAAATATTTGAGATTTTTGTCTGGACCTCTGAACAAAAAATAAGCCTACTAATAAGTCTTCATTATCATGAGTTAATAATTAGTAAATAATATAGTTTTAGTCTTAACTCATGATAAATAGACTTATATTTGTGTTAAAGTGTGAAAAGTAATTTTCAATTGATTAACTTGAATTTTTGGCTAATTATGTGATTTTATAGGAATTGATATAATTTTTACAATCGTACTTTTAAAATAAATGAAGAAAAAGAAATAAAAATTAAACTATAGTAAAATGGGGGATACCTACTAGCCAATCGATCCCACAAGTGGGTTAGAAGCATAGTTAGAGAGGAGCTGTAAGTAGGGGCTCGAATGGCTAAGACTGATGAGGGCACGTGTGTGCCACTCCCCTTCCACGTCACTGGTGGCCAATCGATTGTGGGGCGAGGAGTGGTCATACACATAGAAGAAAATGACTTACTTGCAAATGTAATATTAGCATATATTCACCTAAACTTTGGTGCATAAATGATGTGGGACTAAATCTGTGTCACATCTTCCCTTGAAAGTCTTCAATGATTTTAATACCTACAATACCCCTTATTTATAACAGAGATATACCATGATGATGTCATTTGATAAAGGTATTATAGTACTTATTTTAATCTCTCTCATACAGGCAGACAATTGACACAGGTTTGAATTTTCTCAAAGCCAAAACTCATATTTTTATCTGATTATCGCGACTTTCCTATTCGTCGATGAAGGATTAAACCACTAGAATTGCTAGATTATCAGCAAAAATTTCGTCAACGCGATTCGCAGAACATTGTTACTAAAATTGTTGAATGATTCGTGATAAAAGAATCACAAATCCATTGAGTAAATCATCTTCAATTGATCGACGAATAAGCCATCATCGAGAAGAGGACGATCCACCGAGAGACAAGTCGCCACCTCCTAAGAGTGTACTAGATGCAATGAAAAGCCTCTTCTTATTGTGTGAACCTAAGGATGATAAAGTTTTCTGACACGCACCCTACCTCCATCCAGCTCTTCTTCATCATGTGACAAAGAGCCACAAAGTCATTGTCTTTTCACTCTATTAGGTGATAGTCGCTAGAGACGATTCAACGACTCATTTCATTGATCTCTAGACTTCGCAATGAGATTTAGAGATTGTCATGTCATCTTTGTTTAAGGAGAGCCTTTGAGGCTGTGGACACTATATGATGATCTTCTCAAACACTCAGGATTCTGGTACATTACTGACGCATCGCCACCACAACGTCAAAATTCTATTTTCTTACTTTCAACTTAATTTGTAATTCATTTAGTGATAATTTATGTGATTTAAACTTACCAAGATATACTTCATTTAATTATAATTCTTTTAACTTTTATAGATCCTAATTTGATCAATTAAATCGTCTTATGTCATCCTAATACACCCTTATTTCCCTTTTTTGTGAATTTTAAATATATTTTATTTTTATTTCTTAATATAAAATTCAAAGAAAATAATATTATTTGAGGAAAATTCTAAATAATTATCTAATATTATATTACATCTCTATGATCGACTTGAAAAGTTATCATTATTTTTAGAAGTTTTATTGAATTATAATTAATATATTTGTTCAAAAATACTTCTAAATATCTAAAAATTCATATTTTCTAGTTTTATAAATTTTAAATTTACATGATTTACTCTACAACAGCTAAGTCATGTCCCCTACTACTACTAAATCACCTAAAATAAATGTGGTTTAGAAATTTACTCAATTGATACTTTTTTTTGTGAAAATTGCCTAAGTTTGACTTTCACAAGTAATATTTTTGAAAACATAAACTATACAATGACTTCTGAGGACCACATCTTAGAGACTTAGGAGTTTCCTCAAGTTTTGGACACCCAAACTTGAAGGCCATGTAGATTCTTACATGTTATGGTATGATTGATTACCCATATCAAGTAGATCATTGTAAAGTCAAATTCTTGAAACAAGTTTAAACTGACTTCACCTACCTTCTATCTATGTGAAAGTTCTCTCCTCCTCAATGTCCAGCCTTGCTTCCCTTGTCTCTCTTGTTAAAAATGTGAAGGATGTTCTTTTCATATTGCAAGTGTATTTTTTCCCTTATGTATTCCCTAAGCCATTAAATGAGGGGGTAAGTCACCTCCTCATTAGGGTATGTTGAGTGTTGAGTGTCAAGGAACTATGTTATAAATATGATTTTTAAAATTATAAAATATCATTTTCAAATATTTAGTAGTATTTACACAAATATATATCAATTTTAATTCGATAAAAGCTTAAAAAATAGTAGAAATTTTTCATATTAATTTTAGGGATATAAAATAATATCAAGTAAACCTTTAGAATTATTTCTAAAAGAATAATATTTTCCATGAACTTTGGACTAAAAGATTGTAAGATAATCATTTCTAAAATTAGAGAAAAAAGAAAATTTTGTGTTGACGTCAAGCAAAGATCAATGTCGAAGAATAATGATTCAGGTAGAAATAGAGCTCCACTTGACAATTATTATGTAACAAATTGTAAACAATTTGATTGATAAAATGAACATCTCCAAACATGAAATGAATTGTAATAGATAAAAAAAAGAGTTTCAAAAGTTAAACTTAAGTAAAATATCATTAATAGAAAGTTTAAACTAATTTAAACAAGAAAAATAGAGTTTTGATGTTGTGACAATGATTGTTGGAATTTTATAAGTTCAGAAGGTTTCCAAGGGATGTCTATGGTGTTGAAGGCTCTCTTTA